TAAAGCAAAATGGCTTCAGGACTTAGAGCCACAGACAGGATAGAGTATAAAAAGTATTGAGAAACAGAGTGAGATATTGTTGGTTTTGGTCTTTTCATGGGATTTGTTTACAATAACAATAATACTGAGTTAAGCCAGCTTTATCCTTTACATTTTTAAACAGTGAAAGCTTGTAACAAGTCCACTCTGCAGTATAGTGTCATAGCTGAGTTGACAGTTACAACAGCAGTTTGTTATTCTGCCAGGAATTGCTTTTTGAAAAAAATTAAAGTTGCTCCTTTTAAGGGAACCAATACCAGAATCACATGCCAAACTGCAGGACAATATTCAGATGCCCATTATTGTCTTTACTAAATGTAATTTTCACTTTGTGGTCACTTCTGAAAACAAATGAGGTCAAGAGAAACCTCATCACAAGGATCAGCTCAATCAGAATCAGCTGTCCCGTCACAGCAGGGTTAACTGAAGTTCTACAGTGTGATAACTGTATTAATACGTGTTGTAATAGTAAGGTTCAGCCAGTTTGTTCTCGTGCCACTGGATCAAAGTCGTGTTAGAAGATGCTCTGGGAAAGCTATAAGCTGTAAAAAATGAAAGGATGGGGGTGTTGTGGTGTTGTTTGAATCCCAGCAAATTTTTACTGCTGTCACATCTCTTCTCATGTCTGTCTTTCATCAATCATATTGTGTGAAAAGAGATGAATGAAAATACTGGATGAATGCAGACAGAGGCTCGATTGTCCATCTTATTTACAGAAAGAAAAAATGCTGTGAAGAATTGTGTGGGCTTCCTGGATAGATTTCACTCCTTTGTGCTTTGCTGCTGTGATTGTAACAATCTTTGATCTCTGTATTCTTTGGCAGCAAAGTGGAGCCTTTGTTTATGGATCAATGAGCCTCACAGACAAGGTGGCTAATGGTGTGGGGGTCATCATCATCCAGACGATCCGGCCATGCAGGTTAGTCTCTCTGTGACTGACACCCAGCTGCCTTCTGCTCGTTCTTTTTACGTACCCTCCCATAAAATGAAAGATTAGGTTTTTCCACTTGTCAGAATACAAAGGAATCCTCAACAACAAACACTCACCAAGCTTTATTAGGAACACATGTGCACCTGCTTATATGTGCAATTATTCAATCAGCCAATCATGTGGCAGCATTGCAATACATAAAATCCTGCAGATACATGTAAGAAGTTTCAGTTAATCTTCACATCAAACATCACAATAGGGAAAAAATGTTTCTCATTTCAGCCAAGAACAGAAATCTGGCCGCAGGCTGCGGCGGGCACAGGTTCACCAAAACTGGACACGAGAAGACTCGATCTTATTCCTCTGTGCCACAGATCTTTGATAAAAAACACATACAAGAGCCACATTGTTGCACTGGGTGATATGATCCTTCAATACAATGAACTGTAGTTTATTTTAAATTCTACATACCCCATCCTGCTGCCTGAAATACTCACGAGTGCCAAATGTGTATTAATCCACAGCTGAAAATAGTCCCCAACAAATAAACAATTTACTCCTGTTTCAGTGACATTTGCTAAAAACTCCAGCACCCAGCTGTTTTAAGAAATGCTGTGCCTTTTTAAAAAGAAAAAAAAATGAAACTATGTATTTGTGATCTGTTGTTAAAGATTTATGTCTTCAATAGAAACACATTTGCGTGAGACTGAGAGCCACAGGGCAGGAAATTTGAAAAAACTTGCTGAGTTTGGTCTTTCCATGCGATTTTAGTTAAAAATAAGGAACATGTAGATTAACGCCAGCCTTATCCTTTAACTTATGGCTGTGTCTATGTTTTCCCTTTGCCTCATGATAGTGAATGCACATTCCAACACATTAGCAGATGTGTAAGCTAAAAGGCTTAATCAATGATCCATTTAATCTGCAATGATTTATTGAACACAATCACTTTACATCTTCATGTAACCAGTGACCGAGAAGTCATATATAGACTTCGCCTAATTCAACCCAAGTGTGGATCCCTGTCGATTACATCAAATTATTTACAATATTTACAACATTAAACTCAGAGTTATTAACTCCACATCCACCACCTTGAAAGACAAGCTGTATATAATAATGTAGCAAATGAATATATCTGTAGTTATATTATACCAGTAGGAATAGATCTCTAAGAATAGATCTATAGACAAGCAGGATCTCTATTCCTGCTGGTGAAACAAGATGTAGTCTACTATAATAGTTATATTTATTAGCTTCCTATGTTTTTTTCCTACAAAATGAAATGACTTGATGGTGGATTTCTCTTACTTGAAGATGTGAAAAGATAAATCTAGCTTTACTGCACACAGCTGACCTCTGACCTCTCAAACACAGTAACTCCACTTCACTACTTTTCTGTCTCACTTTAACAAAAGCTCTTTCCGTTTTCTCTCTCCAGCAGCACACAGTCATGCTGCCCGGACTGTGTGTGGTTTTATCGTGACATCATGGCGATTGTTACCGGGGGTGTCGCCGTGGCTGCGGCACTTTGCCTCTTCTCAATTCTCATTTGGCCTATCAGGATACGGAGAAATTAGGTTGCAAAATGTATACCACACTCATTGCTCATTATTGTCTGAAACATTAACACACACAGAGAAAACAACCATTCACACCATAGCAGGAATTTAATAAGTCACTACATGATGTTAGAGACAGGTGTATTTTAGATTTTCATTGACATTGTCTGTAGATTTTGGCTCTTATGCTTAAACCTAGAAGTAAAAAGGTCAGCTGGATTCCAAGCGCAGATGCATTTAGACAAGGCCTATTAATATATAAACATATTTGGACAGAATTGGACAGAACTTCTTTTCTCCATAAATAGAGTCATATAAGAAGTTTTAATAGGAATGCCTTTGTGGTTGGACAAGGGAAATGGTGCAGAGGATAAAGCCATGACACCATCTAGTGTATGAATATGTAACTACACTGCTTTACTGTAAGGGCTTATAAGGCTTTTAAAGCTGAGAATGACAGTATGTTAAGAGATCCACATTCAAGGTCCTTGAATGGAACAAAATTTAATGAAGAATTTAGACATTGAAATATTTACAAACACATGGACTAAATACAACACATAGCAATATTTCATAATGATTTATACTTATGCTTTACACTGAAATTGCATCAAATAAATATAACATTTGCTTTCCACTGTGAATGAAGCCAAGTGTTTTAGTTGATCTGGCGGCAGTTGTGGCGCTTTTCCAAGACAGTGAACTGGGTGAACTCGACTTCTGACGAAACCTGCACAGCAGAGAAACTGCAGAGATTCACAAAGTATAAATTGTGTTAATTCCTTTATAATGCATCCTTTTACTAATTAAAATCATTTAATAATGTTCACACACATTTTTATTTTTGTTCTTTATTTTGTTGTTTGTTTGTAGTCTTTGTCTGTCTCATGAATGCCTGCTGTGTTTAAATTTGTAAATGTTATAATGGCTCAGTATACTTACTGATTATGAGAATTTGGCCTTAAGAGCCAGCTGATCATAACTGTTCCTCAAGGGGGCAATGAGTGACCTCATCAGTATGTTACACACCTCTGTGATTTAAATTCTTATTGTTTTGTAAATTTTTTTAAAATCAATTCCAGCAGGTCCAGAGTCCTGTTCTCTCTCAAACACACACTGGTTCACTGCAGTGTAGAGTGGCAAGAGTTTGTATTTCACTGTTAAACTTTAATCTGTCACCGTCACCGTGTTAAGAATCACAATTAATCTGATGTGAGGTTTGTCAATTTTATGGTCTCATTTTGCGCATATGATGTTGCGCTTTATTTGTGCAGCCTCAGTGTTTTATTTTGACCAAGAAAGCAGGTTTATTTTTTCAAAAACTCCCTTCCTTGTACAGCTAGTGAGGAAATCAGAGGCAGCTCAGTTTCTTTGTTTCATACAGAGGAGTCTACACCCTCATGGAGGAATGCAATTGAATTTATACACTGAAACAAACTAATGACAATGCAACTTGACTGCGAAACAGAGAGATGACAAAAGTCATGTAGCAAGTGTCCTAAGATAAAAAAAACCCACAGATGATGATTTGACACCAACATGAAATGTTATAGGAGATTTCTTGTTAAACTTGAATTTAAACCTAACACCTTATCCCCATAAATGTTTGTCTTATTGCTAATACTGTTACTTAAGTGCTGCTTAACAAATATGTTGTCTGGTAGAACACTATGGTGACAGTGATGGTTATATTTATGATTATATTTATCTTTTTACTTTTGGTCATCATTTATCTATTAGGATTTTGTATTTGATTGATTGTATTTAAAAGTGTCTCAGTCCCATATGCTTGCTGTAAACCATGTATGGTTTATTGAGCACACATGGGCACACTGGGCACCAGCAGCCCAAGGGTCAGGGGATCCCTGGAGCCTCTGTTTCAAGTGGATGTTAATATTTCTTGTTGAAAAATCAAACAACTAGCTTACAAAAAGAGACAAAAATAACAAATACATGCAATATGCATCCAAGGAGAAGCAAAGCAAAACTATTACAAAGACTCAAAACACAAAGATATTTAGACCACAAAATTTTGTCTCGTTTTTAGCCCACAAAAACGAGACAAAATAGTTCCAAGGAGATGCAAAACAGACACAAAGACTAGTAACAACCACAAAGAGACAAAAAAATTACATTAAAAAAAAATACAAAAATCATAACAGCAGTAAAGTCTCAAAATGACTACACAGATGTGCACAAGGACATCAAACAGATGTGAAACGACCAAAAAGAGATACAAAACAACTCTGAAGAGACGCAAACTGATCACGTGGTTCAGTCTGGGGGTCTTGTTCCTATAGTGGAAGTGTAGGGGGCCCAGTATCTCACAATCTGTCCATGTGTGAACCGCAGAAAGGCCGACCTCTGGCGGTTGAATCGCGGCGGTGTGGCTGTTGTGCGGCGGCCTCATCACCGCGGACAGGCGGGACAAAGCACTTGTTCAGAGGCAGTCGCCTGTACGGAAACCGTTGTCGCTGGTCTCTGCCCGGGAGAGGAGCTTCAAGCGGGGTCACGACTTTCAAAGTTTGCCCCAGAGAAAGAAGTCCATATTGAAGTCAGCACAGAAACATTTTATTTTTCTTCCGGACACCTATTTTCCTCAGCTGTTCTCAAACTTTCACAGCCAGGAGAGTTTTCCCTGGAAACAGGGACGGACAGAGCTGAAGTTTTCATTCCCCTCCACGACCCTCAGGTAAGGCAACACTTAAGGTGGAGTAAGTTAAGTTAAGTTATTATAATAGCTGTATTTAAACTCATTCTGTCAGACTAAACCTGCATGGATGTGTTTCTTAGAAGTGTGCTCCTGAAATATGTGAGTGAACGCAGCTTTTATAACGGTAGATTTGTAACTTGGACAGGTGGGTCCCTCATGTTGTTTTCCAAGCATTTAACCCATTAGCTATAACACCATGAATGGTTCACTGTTTGTTATTGATTATAACGAGTTATATCAGAAATCTAGAGAATCACATCAGGAAAAATCATTCTAACCATCGTAAATAATATTTATGATGATTTGAATTGAATTGCGTTAGAAATTCAAGTTTAAAGAGACAACCCGTGATCATAAACAACCAAAACTCACAACACAGGTTCACAATCTGCAATCTGTTCATCTGTTTTGAATTGTGTTACAGATTAATAGCTACTATATCGACTGATTTATCACACCCAGGTGCCCGTTTATTAGGTATACACCTTGCCAACACTAATGCAGTCCAATGCAGCAGCAGTGCAGTAAATGAAGGTGATAATATTCAGTTTCTGTTGTAGAGACATTGATCTAACTTTGTGGAAGCTGTAGTTTGTGGTTATCTTTAATTTGATTGCTTTGCATTACACTGAGAGGTGTTTCTGTTAGTAGTATTTTCATCCATATTCAGTTCATCCAACATTTATCCAGTTTATTATGAGTTTATTATGATTGAGGAGATTTTTCACTGGGTAGGTGTTTTGGCAGGACGTCTTGGCTGACTCCTGTGTGTATGCCAGTGGGTCTCAGCCTACATGGGGCAGGGGCTTAATTGTTTTTGACAGATGTGAGACATGTGACTGTTTGACTGGAATTCCATTATCAGCAGCAGATGATAGAGTCTCTGTGTTGTAGCGGTGCTCAGGCTGCGGCTGGTGGGTGTCTGACCTGACCTGTGACAGTCGTCCAAAAACTGAGCTTTCGGCCCAGCTTGAAAATTACATTAGTGAGCCATTGTTAGACAAACACCACTGTACTACCACTACAACTACTATTACTACTACTACTGCTGCTGCTACTGTTACTCCTACTATTTCTACTATTATACAGCAAGTGCTTTGAGTAAAAGTACACTAGGCTTCTCCGTAATAAGAAAATGTCATATGGTTTTGTGCACATGTTTCTTGTCTAGCTTGTATGTTAGAAAATATTTTGTTGGTTATTATTTTGATAATAAACTATAAAAAAAATTACCATTTTAGTTTTCTAATACCCCAAGTGAATATCATCAGATGTCTTGTTTTATCTGACTAACAGTCCAAAACCCAAACATATTCAGTTTATTATAATGTTAAAACAAAAAGAAACAGCAATTTCCTCCATTTGAAAAGCTGCAACCACCAAAGGCCGAATTGGCCTTTGTCTTTGACAGGTTTAGAAGAGGTAAAGATTTTGATTTTGAAGATTTTAAAGCCTCTGATTCCTTTGAACCTGAAGAAGAGCCAGCTTGAGCTTGAAATATTGTATGTTTCTTAATGTATTAAAGTAGAAATTTTGAAGGGAGTTGTGGGGTAGTTGTTTGGGCCTTCTGGAAATTCCTTGACCTTCAGATTGCTTCCTGCCAGTAATTGATATAATCAAACACTGCACTAGGAAATAAACTAAGACCCAGTAGCTTACGGGACAGCCTGTTGATCAACAATAAAGAACACCTGACACCACAGCACACACTTTACCCATCCACCTGTCCTCCCCTCTTTCTGTCTCTCCCCTCTGACTCCACTCAGGAGCAGCACAGAGGAGCCCTTGTTTGATCCTCCCTGGACAGTGCCCCAGTTTTCTTTCTTTCTTTTTTTTCCCCCCTGACTCCATGGCAACACTGTTCCCGTGACGAGCAGCCTTGACTTTTGCCCCTCCTGCTCTCAAAACAAAGGCAAGAAGTTATGGAGGGATGGAGAGAAGGAGGGCGAGAGAGTTGGGGGACGGGGGGGGTCGTGAAGGGGGATGAAGGATATGGAGGAATGAGGGAGGGAATAATGGGAAGGTGTCTGGGATGGAGGCTCTGAGGCGAGACCTCCACTGCTGTGTGTGCCAGAGTCGCATAAAGAGAGGAGAGTTATTACCCGGGACTGTAGACTGTAGGCAGTGCCAGGGACCGTCTCTCTGTCTGTGTGTCTAAATGTCTGAATGGCCGGCCATCTTGGCCATTACCTCCTTCACAAGATGCCCAAAGAGAAGAAGTCTGTAGATTAAAGAGGCGTTTTTGTTTTTAAAAATCAGAGCTGTGGTGCCACTGGAAGATAGACCTCAGTTGACAGAATAATTTGCATTTAATTTATGAATAGGGCCGGCAAAAACACTTATAGTCTTTATTGATTAAGCTGTCAATTCTCTCTATTAATAATTTTGTCCATAAAATGTCTGTAAATAATAAAAAAATTGCCCTTCACAGAGCCCTATGCGACATATTCAGTTCCATATATACAGTGCAAAACCCAGAGAGGATGAACTTACAGCAATACAAAACGGAGAAAAGCAGCACATTATTACTTTTTGGAAGCTGTAACTAGCAAATGTCTTTTCTTTCATAATTTTTTGACTTTTTATAGATTAAACCATATATATATATAACTTAATCAATTAATCGGAAAATAAGATAAACCAAAAACAAAAGTAACTGTTAGTTGCTGCCCATGAATCAATGGACTTCCCTATTGTTATTTGGTGTATGAACAGATGAAATGTTACAGTCTGTTGCAAACACGTTGCGTTCAGTATTGTGTTCATATCAGTGAGATAACAGTTGGAAAATCACAATTTTTGTCCTCACAGTAACGTTGCCCTGCTGTTTCTGTGTCTTTTCACTCCAACATGTAGGCAGCCCACTCCCTGTAGGGCTCTGTTTAGAAGAATGGGCATTGTTAAGTCGTATACACTGTGGTCTTGGATATGTCTGTCAAATATGTAACATAAAGAAACCAAAATTTGTAGCTGTAGGGAGGCATGTGAAATGTTCAAAGTCTGGCTGGACACTGTGGAGGAGGGAGAGAGACTCCTACAGCCACTGAAGAGGCAAAAAGGAAAGTATTGTTGTTTGGCTGCGCTCTCTGTCCTGGTACCGACATCTCCACAGCGATTCTGATTTTAATGCTTCAGAGACCTCAAAGCTAAGGTCATTCCTCTGATATTTCTATTTGCTGTTAACATAAGCCAGCAGGTATGATAAGTGATAAACACTCTGGTCTCAGTGAAACCTAATTTACTCGACCTGACAGAGAGAAACTGCAAAAACAACATAACTTGTACTCTCATAAATCACATTCCCTTGGATATGGTAAAACATTTACACTGTTCAGTTCCTAAGCCTCATTACTAAACACACTCACACCTAACTTTCAACATTATTACTGGTACTCATATCAGTGCTGCTGAAAAACAGAGCCAGACAGCTCTTCCCAGCCTTGTGCGGTGCACTTTGCTCTCCCAGTTTGTCCACAAACCTTTTGTTTTGTTGTTTCTGTTCACAGTTCCAGACATCTTTGAGCGATGTTTGACAAGCAGCACTATGAGAGTCCACCTGTTTACAGTCCTCCTTTCACCCCACCATCCAATAACGGCTTTGGCCCTCCGGGCAGCTTCCATGGCCCTCAGAGCGATTACAACGCGTATCCACCTCCGCCGGGATCTTACTACATTGAGGAAAAACCACAGCACTTCTACAAATGGCTGTCACCTCCCGGGATCATCAAGGCCATGATGGCTGTGGTGATTGTGCTGTGTGTGGTGATATTTGCCTGTGTGGCCTCCACTCTCATGTGGGACATCCAGTATGGATACGGTTCGGGTTACTATGGTTCTGGACTGGGCTATGGCAGCGGATACGGTGGGGGCAGCTATGGCTCAGGATATGGAGGTTATGGGGGTTATGGGGGTTATGGAGGCTACGGAAACTACTACGGCTCCTACATCTCACCTTACTCAGCCAAAACCACTATGATTGCCATGGCGGCCATTACCTTCATAGCAGCACTTGCATTCTTCATCGCCAGCTTCTCTAAATCCAACATGGTCCGCAGCAGGAAGTTCTTTCTGGCCCTACTGGTAACCAGCATCATCATGGCTATCCTGCAGGTAAACCTCATTCATATTTCAGTTTCACATTTCTGTTATTTATCTTCTTCTGTGGTATCAGCAGTTAGCGGTTAACCCAGTTTTAGTGTTAAATGATGTTTTGACCCATCATCAGGCCCAATCAGGCGCTGCTGTCATATCATGTCATTGATGACTCCTTCATTGGAGCCAAAATGATTTCCCAACAGGGGATCAATAGTACAAATATTACAGAAAACACAATGGTCTAGAAGTAGAGCACGGATGACTATCCTCAGATTCAGACTAAATACCCACCTCCTCAGAGGTGTCTGGGGAGAACAAACACGAAAACAAGTCTTTTCCTATGATCCATCTAAAAGAAATTCAGATGGAGAACAATATACTTAAGTCTTTAAGTATATAAAACATTTACTGCAAGTAATTTTCAGTCTCACCTAAATTACACAGAGCACACATACGTAGATAGTGTTAAGCTTTGTTTAGATCATGCATTTATATTCATCAGTGTAGCTGATATAATATGTGAGAAATTTGATTTCACCTTACAATAGAAGCAACGCATTAGCATTTCCCAGCTGAGGCATCTCACAGTGATGTCCAATATTTGGAGTTTCCCAATCCCACCTTCAAACAAACAGTCAAAACTGTTGTAAACACTGAGCTCTGTTATGAATGGTATTCAAATATGTATTTTTTTCAAAAACCCTAAATACCAGAAGTATAACCTGAAACAGGACTCTGTGTACACAGTTTAAATCTTGTTGAGTTGGTTAAAGTGCATGTTCATAGAGATGTTCATCCAAGATCACATCCAGATGTTTATGCAGTGTTTGGTATAAAACAGTGCTACTACTCTTACTGGGACCCAATCTGTTAATTTAATTTCTAACCTGCTGGGGATTTAGAGTTTAAAGATGTTCAATCTGGGGACTTTCTTTTGTGCTGCTCTTAAATAATTTCTGAAAATTTACAAGTTCTGAGTCAAATAGAGTTTACATGATTTCCATAAACCTGCAGGAGTGTTTATTATATTCTATTTTTGCTCAGCACATAATCAAATTCAGTGTAGATAAAGGCAGAACATTTATTATACAAAGCATCCATAACAATCTGGATGCTTTTAGATGTTTCCAGCTGATTAAGCTTCAGTAAAGTATTTATTACAGATAGAATGGAAAACACTAGAGAGTAGCCTTAAGTCAGTTAACTGCTTGTTGTCCTGTCCCCTTTGCACTCACAGTATGTCCACTTGGATGATATAATTGCTGCTGTCTTCACATGATCTGACAGTGTTGTCTTAGTCATATTTGATTTGAATACTGTGGAGTGCGACTATAAATACTACAAAGTCTTTTTCAATAAGAGATTATATAATTGTAGATATTAATACGACTGTAAATGTACTAAACCCATTTCTTCTTCAGGGCATCATAAGCATTGTCTACATTGTCGGAGTGAACCCCATGGCCCAGGGCTCCTCCAGTATGATGTACAATCCGATGCTCATGATGTGCCAGAACCTCTACCAGACCAGCTACTCACAGATGGGTGGAGTGGGAGGCTTCCCCATCTACAACCAGTACCTCTACCATTACTGCTTTGTGGATCCACAGGAGGTTTGTAGTTTTTCCTGAACATATTTTGCAGATATCAAGGGTTGAGTTAGTGCATTCTCCAGGATAATTTCATGTAGATGTAGTTTAACATTGTGTAACAATGTATATTTATAACATCATTTTAAATTCATCTGACTCCAGGTGTAATAGTTTTATGGAAGGTATTTTAAGCCGAATGAGTATGAAATGCCCGAAAATGTATGTATATTTTAGACTGCAAGATGTGAAGGGTCACAGATAAAGTAATAAGGACTGCAAGTGACATTTCTTTTTTTACATTTTTTTTCTATAGTCTATAAATTGTCAGACAATGCCCATCAAAAATTCTTGGAGTTTAAGCTCAAGGTGATGTTGTCAATTTACTTTTGTGTATTCTGTCTGAACAACAGTCCAAAACCCAAATATATACAATGTACAGAGAGCAAATCTTGACACTTTAGAAGCTGGAACAAGAAAAGTTTGCTGATTTTGTCATTTGATTATCAAAATAGTTGATTAGCTTTCTGCTGATTCACTATTAGATTAACTGAAAATATTGTTGCAGTACTAAAATGACTGTGTACTGTAACTGCTCGGGGTGTACTTGTGTATCATTTGTTTTTGAGAAATATCTGTACTCTATTGTGATGGTATCTGTTGTGAAACAATTGTTATATTTGTGGTACATGACGCCGCAGATTGTGATATGTATTTCTCCCAGTGACGTCACATATGTGTATTTGTGTACTGCTTGTCCCAGGATAAACCAGCTTTATCTCAGAGCTTATCTAGTTGAGAACTTTCCAAATTTCATCCCCATGTTTTTGCTTTTCTAGGGAGTTGCCATGGTGTGCGGATTCCTGGTCGTAATCGCTTGGGGTGTTGCAGCTTTCTTTGCACACAAGACTAGAGGGAAGATCTGGCGCTACGGGAAACCAAACATCTATTGGGAGGAGCCTCTTGTCGGAGGGAAGGCCTCAGAAGGCAGAGATGTAGAGGAATGGGTAAGAGACAACAGGATGGTATTCACAGTGTAATAAGACTGGGTTTACATGGGATTTACAAAGAAAAATCACATTTTGACCCAAACTGACCTTGAGTTTGTGCATGCACAGCTTGCAGTCAAATGAACAGGGTCACAATGAGTTTAAATCCAGCCTAAAGAAAGGTTGATGGAACGCAATGTTCAATATTCAGATTTGATTCGAAGATGAAATGATCAACTGCAGTGTTTTTTTTTTTTTTCTCCGTAGAAGATTCTGGCACCAAAACGGATGGACATTTGCTTTTCCCCTCCTGTCACCACATTGTGTGACTTGTTGTTACGTGTCAAATTAGTTTCTACGCCTTTTTACGATGCTAAGTAGGTTAAGTAGGTAGGTCATCAGTGAGGTAGTCATCAGTTGTAAAGACAGGTTAGGTGATTGTGGTGATGCAGATGCAGTAAATAACTAAAACTGACACTTGCACATTCCCATGGTTGGCTTGTCTCTTGCTGTGCTATTTTTAATATGTGACTCTGCTGTTTGTCCAGACAGACTTTGTAATGTTGTGTACCAGTTTACATCTCTCATATGCTTTCACCGCTTGTCTTTATGAGGTTAAAGTCCAAAAGCATCATCATATATAGACTTTTATAGGATGCAGCAGGGACACAGTCACACTACCATAAGACTGTTTCCTTTGACTGAGTCACTTTGTCCAGGGCCAGGGCTGATAGCAGTCGGTGATTGTTTACTCATGACCTACTACCTGGTTTCACTCTGAGTAATCATTAACCACCTGAAGATAGTAGGCAGGCAGGTGGTTTCTGGAGAGCCTGCCTTGGGGTTTTTAAATGTCAACAGTGCTCTAGTCATATGGGACTGTTACCTGAGATATGGGTTGATTATTGACTCGATTTGCGTCTTTTCAAATGATGCCTGTTTCACACAGTGAAGTGACAATTAGTTTACATCAAAAGTTTAGGTTTGAAATTTAATTGATGGTCAGAAACAGCACCAGTCGGGTGGTTTGACATTTTGTAAAGGAAGTTTGAAACACTAACATATGTGTACACTTCTTTCTGAACAATTTCTATTGTTTTGTATCTTAAAACTAAATGTCACATGGGTCTGAAATGATGCATCCTCCCCAGTACATAGTGTCGACCTCGAGTGTTTGTTCAAACATTGTGCAGGCGAGTTCAAGAACACAAATCAATACATGCAGACACATTGATTAAAGTAAATATGTGCTATTTGCAAGTGAGAGAAATACAAATAAACAGAAAAACTCATTTAAAATTTTTACGCATTCAAGAAAACAATTATTAAACTTTGATTTGTCTTCAGGATTTTATTAAGGTGATAAAAGGCTAAGCTAAACATCCCTAGCCCTCCATGTACTGCAGTTTGTAATATGTATCTTGACTTAAAGTCAGAATCACTAGCTTAGCTTTTTTTGATTTGATCAGATTAGTCAGTTAAGGTTGAAGTGAGTCACAGTGGATCTTTTGCACTGACTGAGAAAGGAAAAGCTGAACAGACATGGTGTTATGTTGGATTATATAGAGCTGTTTGTTTATGAAAGTGCTTGTCATTGTCTAGAACATGGCATCATGCAGGCAGAGGTTTACAGGCAGAGCAGAGGACATGAGACAAGCCCAGAGTGAATTATATGACCAGCACTAGAGTCTAATAATGGAGCCATGCTCACTGATGTCATCAGACTTATTGTAGGTACACTGCAGTAATTAACTGTACACTGCCTCTGCATTTAGAAACGTAACAAATCCTGATATTTTTCATGTAAATGCAGCTGTAAAAAAAGAGTAAGAAATATGTTCTGGTATTATAGAGTCTGGATAAAAGGGGAAAGAGTTTCCAAGGACGAGGAATCTGAGAAGATTTGATGACTGTCATTGCAAATAGATAATTATTTATTCAAAAAACATGCAAATTGCATGTGGGTTGTGAAACATATATGACTTTGCTGCCTGAAGACGGTATTATCTACAAAAGCAGGTCAGCCTAAGTGTGTCATTATTGTAAAGTCGTATTAACTGTATGGCCTACATACATATTTTATTTTTATAACAGCCTAAACAAACAGAACACTTGGAAGGGTTGCCGCCCTTTCCTGAGTTTCCTCATGTTTCCAATGATCCACTCTGCTGTTATTTTTTTCCTTCATTGCTGCAGTACCTGTCTCTGTGCCACAGAATGAGTCATGGGGCTTGTTTGGCTCCTTTAAGCACAAGGCCAGTGACAGTCTAAGGCGGTGGTTGGTGTTTGAGATTGCACCCAGCTCTGTTGCTGAGCTCAGGGAGGCCAGGCTCACTCTGATGACCTCACACACAGGCCTCATTCAGCTCACCCGAGGGGTGGGGGGGCTGCATTGTGTCTGCTGCATGAGGTCATCAAGAGTTGGTTTCTGCATGGCTGTCTGTGCACTGTAAACACTGAAGTGCTACACAGATGTAGAGTGAACGCACCCTGGACCGGTTCCATAGACGTGAATTAAAACATCCATTTACTGTCGAGAGTAAATCTAAGCAAAAATTTAACAAGGTTGTACAGTGTATAGTATAAAAAGGTCTGGGCATTAAACAAGATTAATAAATACTGTATTAAGAAACAAAATGCTGGTGAACCATGGATAAAAAAGATGATCTAATTCATTCTTACAAATTCTCATCTCTGGTCTGACTGTTTCGAGGAAAATATCTAGTTACAGTTTTTGATTTTTCTGACCAATAGTGTGATTGTAATTGAAATTGTGATTTGCAAAATATCCAAGCAAATTTGTATCAAGTTTAGTCAAACGTATTTTTATGTGAAAGGAAAAGAGAAGAACATATGTGCAAAAATTAGATCAAATTATACATTGCATGTCATTGAAGACCTCCAGGTTTCCCTCTTACAAACTGGTCATTTAGATGAAAAGACAACTTACTGGTTAAACTTAGCTAATAAACCTGCTTAGCTACAGCTGGCTTAATTTGACAGCCGATGCTTTAGTTATCCAAGGCAGTGAGACCGTAAATAAAACACACACACACACACACACACACACACACACACACAAAAAACATTAGAGAGTTAAATACAAGAGAAAGAAGAAGAAAGCAAGTTGTCCGCCTACACCTTTACCTCCATTTTTTCAGAGATGAAACTTGATATGTTTAAGTACAGTTAATCTATAATATATAATATAATATATAAGTACAGTTGAGTAGAGTTGAGTTGAGTAGAGCTCTTTCCAATTGTTTTTCTTTAAATATGTCAGTTAATGTAATGTAATTTGCTGTAAGTGTTCACACTAGTTTCACAACATGTAAGTGCCATTATCTATGGTGAAGCACAATGCTTCCAATTAATAGCGGTTTTTTACATCAAATTTAAATAATATTAATTTACAATTTACATTTACATCTTACATAAAACTTGATCATTCCTTTTTTCCACTCTTAACAGTGCTTCACTTTTCCTTTTACACCACCTTCTCCTTGGTTTGTACTTGTCTCCATCATGACACTCTGTCCTTGCCACTTTTCTGCTTCCCATTATTATTTTATTGCACGTCTTCCTCACTTTGCCTTATCCACACTTTCATCCTTTCCTGCTTCCTCTTAATTCCTCCCTTCCTCATCAACAGTCACCGCTCTATCTCTATGTGTTTCTTTGCCTCCTTGCTTTGCTTCAGCAGGTCCACCACTCTCACATACTCTGCTTCCAGTCCGGCAGCTGCTGTGCTGCACACTCACAGGGCATTGTTGGGATTCTTACATGCACTTCACTCTTCAAACAGGTCTCTCCTGCAGCTGCAAAAAGGGCAACTCCCCCCCACCCAAACACTCCACCCACAGTGATTATTGTTTTTTGGGGGCTAGGCTGATGTTCAGATCTGCTCCTGCACTGTGAGGAATTTAGGAACTTGCTCAGTAATGCACCACCCAAGAAAACAGCAGAGAGGATGTTTTGTAAAGGTTCCCAGGGTTGGAGAATAGTAAATTCCCAGCTCTGACCAGCACCCAAAAGAAAATTTTGGCTCACTAGACAAGGCCTGGTGCTGAATGCACATTATAGACAAGTACAGCAAGTATTCATCTGTCCCTGTTCAGTGGCAGTTGATGTAAAATGTCTTATTTCAGAGGAAAATAATCGGGCCCTGCACAGTTTTAACGTTTTTCAGAAATATGCATTTTTAAAAATAGCATCGCCCCATTTTTTATGGACAAAGGCAGATATGGTGCACCTAGATTTTGACCTTTACTTAAAACCTCCTTACTTATGTATTAAATATTTAATAAACTCAATCTTTTCATTGTGTTTTTAGGGGCCTCACACCCAAAGAGTTTCTGCTGCCAGTAAGTCAGTCAGCATTCCAGATAGTAGAGAAACAATAGGAGCCATTGAAAGTTTTTGACTCTACTGCTTGTGTAGAGGTTTGGCTTGATTGATAAATTTACTGGAAGAAACAGTGACCCCCCCTGAGGCCTTCATTGTCAGGAATTCCCTCATGTAGACCATCTGTCCTTACAGGAAGGACTTGGAAACACAGATTAAGGCGAACATATTTACATGACAGACAGTGTTTCCTTTTGTTTGAAGAAATGAAGAAGGAGCATATCCGTTCAAGGTGTTCATGAAGATGTGAAATAACAGAAAGAAGTTAAAGCAAAGCTGCGATTAATGTCCAGTAATAGACATTAATGTATGTATCCTTATGACTAATCGTTTTAGGTCATAAGGCTATCAGAAACAGATGGAAGAAACCATCAATATATTATATTAGACTCAAAGATTTTGGTCTCTTTGAGTTTATTTTACAATTAGGCTTTAGTCAGTGTTTTAATTTTCTTGACCTTTTCGAGCAGATAACCCACATTTCACAGAGGAGTTGGACTGTGCCGTCCAATTTCATGCCTCACTGCTCTCTCAAACTTTAAGCGCTAATTACCATACTCTTGTCTGTGGTGTAGAGATAGCCTCTCTTTCCTCCTTAAGTCAAGATGGCTTCCTAAACAGGATGTCAGTCAGAAAATGAGCCTGTGGTGGGTCCTGCTCTTTGTCAGTATTTCGGTTGTTTGTTTGTGTTTGCTGAGTCTGTTCCTCGTGTTTTTTCCTGCCTGCTGTAGGTGAACAATGTGGAGGAAAGCCGCAGTGTTCAGGACGCTCCTACCCTGCTGGTGTCAGAGAAGGGAGGCGGGCTGCTCAACGCCTCAGCGAACAGTTTCATCTCCTACCCCCCAGCCAAGGTGGACATCGGCTCCTATGACGGAGACACCTTTGACAACAACGAGTGGGTGACCATGTTTTCTCAGACCCTTTTCTGTTTTTTATACTTTCAATTTCATTAGGGTTGAAACAAATCGGGCATGTACTGTATATTCAATCTCTTTTCCAGTTACTTCCAGTTACAAGTTACTTGTTCAGCATCATGTTTAATATGAATGATCCACTTTTCTAAATCCTTGTCAAAAATATTTCCTTATATTCGCAGCAAGTGGGTCAAAATTCTCAGTCCCCATTCTACATCCAAATCAGATGAGCCACATTTTAACTGATTAAATGTTTCTAAACGCAGTCACCGTGAAACAAGTGTGGGTATATATGGTGACTGGGGTTAGCCAGTTGCCCCAAATCACATTTAATTTGATAAATCTATAGATGTGTGTACATATATAGATTACATATACACCCATGAGCTCAAGATAAGCCATCAAACATTTTTTTCAGGAAGAGAAAAGAGAGGCATTATAATAAAGAAATACTCCCAAATATCAGGCATATAACAAGAGATACGTATCTGAGCAAGTAACACAATGATGCAGGATTACAACTTGTATTTCTCATTTTACTGTGTCTTCAAGTTTTTAAATATAAAATTTCTATTAAGATAAAAGCTGCAACGTTTCCCTCTGCTCACTGTAAAGCAAAGACTCCACACAATCAACCGTTCAAACACGTGATACACTCAAACAGTATCTAATCACTGCTCTGTTTAAAAGCCCATGAAGACATATTGCCCTGCCCACACAAGAGAGCTGTGTGTGTGACCTTTGAGCCTTTGTTGGATTAACGTTCTCTTGTTTTTATGGTTTTTTTTTTCTCTCATTTTCATTGAATTCTCTGAGGACGGGAAAAAGCCGGATGTTTGTGAACTAATGTTATTTGATTTTTCTTCAAAGCTTGCATGAATGTCCTCAATACTTGAGTGTGTGTGTGTCTGAAGTACGCTGCTCTTTATAGTTTGTTAAGACCTCAGAACAGAGCATGCGGTTAACAAGAGAAAATAAACTAATCGTTGTATTTTACACCGCTGGCTCAAAGCACAGAATATTGTTATTTTTGATGATTTCCTCTCTCACAAAGTAAACAGAGCGGGCATTTTCATAAGCTGAAGAATGTTAGCCTGAAGACCTGCCATGTCCTCTGTTGCTGACATAATGCAGCCTTTTTTCTTTTTTTTTGTAAGAACTTGTAATATCTGCTCCACTGGATTTGGATTCCTCTACAAATCCCTGCAAACCTACAAAATTGAGCACATCCTCCCCCCTTGTTATTAAAGAGCTGTACCTGATTCCTCCACATGGCACAGAGGCAAATTGTAGGTTGTGAGCAACAATAATCATTAGTGGTGTCTACGTCCTCCATATGCCTGTATCTGTCTGGGTCATGTCAGTAAATATTTGTTATATTTAGTCACCGTCTCATATTCAACCATATCTATAGTTCCTCTTGTTATATATAGCATTATATTCTTGGAGGTTAATTACTTTCATTCTTTACGTTTTTTAATGTAAATTAATGTTTCAATTTCATGTTGTTTTCATTTGCAAAGAAAATGACATATATGGCCTGTAAGAAGTTTATTGTACTGTATGAGAATCTCTAAATTCATTGTAGAACCTCACTGCCTATATCTTTATAATGGAACAAAGGTCAGTAGGATCCGATGTGCACAGTGAGGTGGCTTTTGCAAGTCACAAAACACCAAACAGTTGCAACATATTTAACGTACAGACATGAGAGTAGTGTCAATCTTCTCGTCTGAGTCTTCCAGAAATATACAAATAAATGCATTTCCTAAATGTTGAACTATTCCTTTAAGACAAGTATTTTTTTTCCATGTAGAATATTTTGAACAGCTCCCAAGAACAGTTACTGTTCTAGATGAGAAAGTGTTTTTTTTTGAAGAAGAAGACATCTTTCAAAGTCTCAGGGGAAAAAACATACTGATGTATTTATTAAAGGTTTAACAGTCAAAAGCTCTGCTGCTTTTTCATGGTTCTGTAGGAGAGGCATAATCATATTTCACACCTCAAACCAGTGAGAAACACAAGGACAAAAACACATGCAGAAATCTCTAATGTGAAGTAACAGAAAACAGTGTGTTCATGTCACTTGTAGTAAAAAGCTGATAGTAAAAGCAATTTTTCACTGCCTTTAAACTTAACCACCGTCTTTATGCTGACTACATGAACAAGAGTTTTTCTAATAATTTTCTTATGTCTTTGTTGCTGTCCTGCAGGTACTCGGAGAGGACCACCAGCCGGCCATTGGAGGTCTTCTCCCCCGGTGGAAGGACCAGCTCCAGCCCTTCAGAGGAGACGGGCGGGGGCCGCAAACCCTCGGCCAACAGGGGCAAGAGACGCAGACGTAACCCGGAGCTGGACGAGTCTCAGTATGAGACGGAGTACACCACAGGAGGAGAGACAGGCAATGAACTTGACGCAGAGGAGTGGGAGAGGTGAGAATTAAAGACGACTGCACCACTGTATCTCTGGATTAGAGACGGAAATGTCATTAACCAAGAACTCAGGATGTAAATTGCAGTCAAACACTGTCACTCCCTCAGGACCAGACCTAAATTCACTGATCCGAATCAAACTGTAAGCTCACAAAATCAGACTCACATGAGAAAGACTTGATTTACAAGACAATGCAGCTATAATATCTTTTGGGTTGAAACATGCAAGTATAAAACAGTAAATAAACAGATGCTTAAACAACAAAGCACGAAAAAGGCTATAGTCTGTATGTTCCCTCTGTGCGGGAGAGTAGTTAATCCTCTAAGGCATGCCAGTTCACATGGACTGTAGTCAGGCATAATGAGAGAATTAGGCCAAAGGTACGAAACATGGGAGTCAATGTAGTTTATGAGAAAGTATTCTTATTTGGCTGTGGTTGGACACACCTTTAGGCCTATAGCACCTTGATCTCTGCTGCGTGTTCCTGTGGTTCAGCAGTAAACCTGATAACCTCAGTGAAGGTCGTCACGTGTCCTTTTCAGGTCCTTCTGGTCATTACGCAGGTTTCTCTCTTGCTGATGTCTGTTTGTCTTTCTCTCCTCTCCCAAATCTGCATCCTTTTTGTCATCTTTCCTTCTTGCTCTCCTTCCTCCTCTTCCAGTATGTATCCAGAGATTACATCTGATGTTCAGCGCCATGATTATAAGAGAGAGTTTGATGCCGACCTGAGGGAATACAAGCGCCTGTGTGCTGAGATGGATGACATTAATGATCAGCTGAACAAACTCAGCCGTCAGTTGGACACACTGGACGACACCTCTGCCAAATACCAGGTCAGATATGTACAGAGCTCACCTCCAAAAGTCACGTGACAGGCAAAGTTTAAGCATGATCGGCCTTAATCCAAAAACTGAGGACTACACGTGGGGGGGGGGGATCACATCCACAGTAACTGAGATGCTGTTATTTCACCCTAAATTAAAAAAAAAAAAGAAACCTTTTTCCTTGGTGTATGAAGGCTTTAATTGAAAAAAAAGTAACAGATCAAAATTTGATTGTGAAATGCTCGATTTGATAATAAACAGCGCTGATCTTGAGATGCTGATCTTGCTACAAAAAGATGCTGCAAAAAGTTCTTCAAACTCCACCTTCCTCCGCCCTCAAAAGTGCCAGAACTCAGATTTGTGTCATCCCAGGTATGCTCTTTACCTGTGTGTAACACTCAGATTTCACTCCTGGAGCCAAAACTTTCCATTTTGTCCAGGGCCACTAAGCAAGAACTCTTCATAAATGATAAAGACAAAAAGAATATTAATTATAATAAAAATGGAAACTTTGAAAACCTCAACAGTCATTGCCACATCCAGAGTTCACAGTTAGGCCTAAGAAATCTGTCTGTGTGGTGAATGTGCTGAAGTTTGTGAGAAACGTTACAGGAAACGATGTTAATATGTTGCACAGAGAGAACGACAGAAATCATTAAAATAAAAGTTTCACAGGCACCTATAAGTTTCAGCACTTTCATTATTAGATTGTGAGTTGTTGAGTCGCCACACTGATCAGTTCCACAAGATCAAACATCCAACTTATGTGACTTTGTTTCAAGTAAGATGATCCCTCTCCACAACTGAGTGTCTCAGGATGTTCTCTAGTCCAAGACAGACTTCCAAAAATTATTCTCAAATCATTCACAGTCATGCACAAAAAAACATGTAAAACTGGGAAATACAAGATTCCTTCACCATTCAGTTTGAATGCGAGGAAGACGTGATCATAACATGTCTGTTCCTTAATTTTCTCAGGCAGTAGCAGAGGAATATAATCAACTGAAGGATCTGAAGCAGGTGAGGACGCATCTCTGATGATAACATTTTATAAACTCAACTTACTAAAGCCTTTATTAACAATATATTTCATCTATTTATGGATGCATTTACAGAGTTTGTTCTTAACCTACAGCTTCAAAATGTCACAGTCCTTTTTAGCTCATAGATCTTCTGTGATTGCTTTGTGTTCTCTTTAACCTTGTTCCTAGATGGTCTAACATAGAGCTTTATTGCTGTTTTTGTAAAGCAGAACATTGTCACTGTCTAGTATTATTTAATAACTCATTGCTGTCGGTAATGAATGCACATATGTACACTGTTGTGCAGTATTAAATGACTCATCTGTGCTCTCTCTACTCTGTAGACATCAGACTACCGGTCTAAGAAGAAGGAGTGCCGCAGGCTGAGACACAAACTGTTCCACATCAAACGCATGGTGAAGGACTACGACAAGAACCACTAGTGAATCCACTCAGTCCTGACTCTCAGCTCTGTGGTCTACACAGCAAACACTCACAGACACGGGCCAAGATACACTCCAAAATACTGCAAAGACTGTGGCATGCTGAGACCAAAGTTACCTGAACACCACCTACACACACTGGATACAGAGGGGCACATTTATACACACACACACACACACACACACATAGGGAACATATTGTATGTTAATAATAATGATCCAAACATGTGTTTCCTTCATTCTCTTTGATCAGAAATGTATGAATAACTCAATTTTTGGAAGAAAATGGAAGCAGGAGCCTCAATTGTAGCCACTTCCACAGCAAACACTGCCATTTTCTAAAAGGTCCAGCTCATTGTTTGAAGCAAGCAACCACTTGAAAGGTTGTTTGAAAGTCACCTGACCTTCAGTCACCTGTGATAACACTGTGCTGGGTTTCTGTGGCTGTGTTTGCTCTCCAGATTGGCAACTTTTCTTTGTTTTATCTCCACAGATAAGAGGTGGAACAGTATTGTAGAGAACGTAGTGAAGGGTGAGACAGGTTGCTGGGATTGTTTGCGAGCAAATATGCTGTTTCTTTTAACCCTTGGCATGACGTTACCTTTGTCGCAAATGGACTTTAGTTGTGCTTTTCTCATCGTGTGTCAGTGTTTGTAACTAACTTCAGTGTCAGTGAAGTTAACTGCTCTCCGCCGGGACCATGTGTGTGTTTTTCCCATATACCAGCTTTTTGTCTGCACTAAGATGTTGATACTGATTGTCGTAGATGCAGTGAAACCAAAAAGGGGATAAACTGGCCAATGAGATGTTGTGTTATATATACGTTTAATGAATCGTGCTCATACTACGTACCAAGATCAAATTTACAGTATGTATCTGACTGTTAGATTCAGCAGATATCTTAGCATTTGTGATGACGTTATGTTATGTGTTCATACTAAAGACCCATCGGGGCTTGTGGTTTTTTTTAATCAGTCATTCAAAATATGCTTAAGCTATGCAAAATATTAAAAAATAGACTATTTTTATATTGTTTATCATGCATGCTCCTCAATAAACTGGAAAACATGTCTTGCTGACTGTCTATAAGCTGAGTGCATCTTCTCATTTGATTCTTTGCCAATGAAAATCATCATCATCATCATCATCATCAGTAATTTTTGTATTAATTCACTTCATGTGCAAAGTGTTAGGATCTACTGTACCTTTTGAAATTGTTCAGACATACCTTTGATTTGTCGTGCATTTGTATTTTTATGAAGAACATTGTTGTCATTTTACAAACCATCTGCGAGCCATTTATTTTTATATGAATTTATTTTCTTTGATGCTATTATAAAAGACCATTTTTTGTAACTGTATACTTCCATATGGTATGATGTCTAAAAAGTATTGAATACAGTAAGTAATAAAAAATTCTAATTCTCTAAAAATTTGTTACAGATAGTCCACCTCTTGTTTTTCTTTTTCTTTTTTTTTTTTTGGACCCTCCTGGTTTGGAGGAATCTGTAGCTGTGTGCATGTGCAGTGATCATCCAGCAGGGAGAGCAGGAGGCCGTGTTGATCCCAGTAAATTGAAGGTAAGCTGTTACTGCCCTCTTTTGGTAAACAATGTTTAAAAGATTTTTTCTATAGCTCTCCAGCAGTACAGTCATTTTCTGTGTCCAGATTCCATACCATCCTATTACACTATTATAGACTTTAAACTAACCTTCTACAGATTTGCCACTAATTGTCATAACATGCAGTTATTGCAGTTAATATACAAAAAAAAAATCAACATACTATATCATTTTATACCAACAAGAAATAATACACAATGTGCACTGGTAGCACTTTACTTTGGCCATTTGGCATTCATAAGCACAATCTAAACATTTAATAAATGGTTAATAACACGCTATAGTGTATGCGGATATAAGGACATTTTATAATTAAACAAATGTAACACTAGTTACTAGTACTAAACATCATAGATCTTTCTGTAGCTGTTTCACCACCATCTGCAATTTCATTTTCTGCTGTGAGTAGCACCTGTTTCCGTGTGCACTGCATTGTGCAAGATTATGGAACAACAACACTTCAATCAATCAGTAAATAACTGTATTTAGTATGCATGTTGACTGCTTTGAGAATATTTGTCACTTTTACAATGTGAACACTACACATGATTAAATTGTGCTGATAATAAATATGTATTAACATATTGGGACTCAGCTCTTGAAACTAACTTGTCATTTTCATAGAACTACTAACTACTAATACTGTACTTCTTTACAAGTCTACTGACACTGTTACTGTAGCACTAGAATTTATTATTGTGTATTGAAATGTGGCTTTTTCTGGTGTTTTTATTTCCACTAGATGAGATGAAAATAATCAGCAAAGGCTCTTCCGCCAATTTGGAAAACAGGAATCTGATCAATAAGTTTAATGGTTTCCTCAGCTACTCTCAAGTTTAAACAAACAATAACAGTGTGATGCTGTCAGTTTTTATAAAACAAGCACAGTATAAGTAGTTGACAGTAAATAAATAATAAATAAATGCTCAGATATATAGATACTACACTTTCATGGCAAGTCTTCACTAAAGAAATTTATTCAGAAGACATGTGACTGCCTGTAAACATTTGTTTAATGCAATGTTTAAGTCAAATATCAGCAATAGAGCTGCGGCTATTGATTGTTTTCATTATCAGTAAATCTCTCATTCCTTTTTGTGTGAATTGATTAATCATTTAGCCAATGGAAATTAATGAAAAATGCCTATTACAAGTTGTAAGAGCCAACAATCCAACCTCAGTTTATAAGTATGTGAGAAGAGCGCCAAATCCTTACATCATGAAGCTGGAACTGGCAAATGTTTGTCACGTTTGCTTGATTAAATGATGATTGAAATTCCTATTGAAAAATTTCTAATTCGATTAATTGTTTCAGCTCTAATCAGGATTGACGATCAAAATGACTGGGAAAGTGTTTCTGATTCTTGCAGATGTGTGCAGGTTCTAATACTCGTACGTATACGAATGTAAATACTCAAGTCATCCACAGACAGAATGTGCATACTTTTATTTCCAGAAATGCAAAAATAACCAGTCAGCCATATGAACTTCATTTGCATTTTTTTCTTTTTAGCTTTGGCATGGTCATAGAAACATGATTCTTTTAAATGTAAAGCTACACAGTCAAATCACTATAGTTTATATTCTGACAATAACACAATGTGATTCAGGGACAGCATGATGAGCTTTTGATGAAGTTGTTTGACAGTATCAAGGATCATGGTCATTGTTGCCTTTTTTATGATATAATAACAGGTAATACAAAAATTTATACCAAAAAAATCATGAGCTCACATTGAGCTGCGGTTCATGGCACGGACACTCCTGAACTACTTAGTACCCTTCATCTCAGTACCAACAAACACTATAACCTTTACACCTTAACAACTCAGAGTACCTTGCATAAGTGTAGTAATTGCTTGAAAGTGACCTCTGTCCGTTAGGACGTGCTTTTAAAAGGGGATCGAAAATGTGAAAAAAATCAAAATGAACTACCTCTACCTTTATAACAACAAGAAAACAGTGTCCCGTTTGCAGAGATTAAGCAGAAAAACATATATTTATGTTTATCTGAGTTATTTGACTCAGTGTCGCTTTCTGAGAATGATCTGTCAAACTTTAGGAGTCCTGTTACATCAAACTTTACATTTTAAAACATTTTCAAATATATATTGGGTAAGTCTGGTGGATAGACGGGTCTTTGATATGATAGTGATAGTGATAACTTGATCCCTTTATATTTATCTTTACTTCATGAATATTTCACTACACAATCTTTGATGTATAAAACATGAGGTAATAATGTTAGACAGGGATGTGACTGTCTGAGGAGCCAGGGTGTGTCTGAGCACATTCACCTCCAATTTCAAGAACGTTTGTGTTGTATAATATACAATATTAGAGGAATAGCTCAACATTTTCGAAAATACAGTTATTTGCTTTCTTGCCAAAGGGTTAGATGAGAAGATCGATTCCTCTCTTATGTCTGTACAGTAATTTTAAAGATGGAACCAGCAGCTGGTTAGCTTAGCGTAGCATAAAGACTGGAAACGGGAAACAGCTAGCCTGGCTTTGTTCAAAGGTAAAATATCCACCTATCATGGCTATCACTGCTAAAGATTGTCTTTAAAGGTTATATCTCTGACAAAAACAAAAAGCATAAAAACAACAATTCACTGGTTTACGGGGATTATGTGCTATTTCTTTGCCAGGCCCAGTAACTTTCTGATGTCTCTGCTGGTTTTTCTGGCAACTGCTCAGAGCCAAAAAACAGTCTGGCACATAACCTCTAAAACCATAAATTGTTGTTTTTACCACTTGATTTTTGTACATGTTAACCAAAAGAGATAGCATGTTAACTAGTGAGCTTTAGAGTTGCTGGAGAGTGGATTTTGTCAGCGTCAGACGGAACTAGGCTAGCTGTTTCAAACTAAACTAAATAGGTGCTAGCTTTAGCTTCATATTTACCATACAGACATGAGAGTGGTATCAATCAAAGCAAAGCAGAATCCCCAAAATGCTAAACTATTCCTTTAAGTATATAACATACAAACTATTTCTTGATTGTACTTTATATAGTGCAATATATAGTACAATGCTCATGTCTCTTCTTTGCTTTAATGCTGATGCTTTGCAGTCTTCACAAATACATTTGGTAACAAAGTCTGATATTTCATCCCACATATCAAACATTACACAACCTGCACAATAAGTACCAGCTGTGACGATATAAAGCTCTGCCTGTAAAAGTGGCACTGCTATGGCTTCATTATGACTCAAAAACAAAGCAGAGGGAAAAGACACAGCGCCTGGGTTCAAACTGAGTCACATAAGGGGTGATATGGGAGGAGGTAGTACGGGCACATGGCCTCATGTTAGAGTCTGCATTTCAGTTAAAGCCCTGTTTTTTGTCCAGAATGAGACAAAGAGAGAGCAGATGAAGGTCAGAGAAAACTAAGTGCGGCAAACATATATGAAGATAAATGTACATTTTTGTTTCCCTGAAAGCAGCTTTGGTTTGACTACCACCAAACTTTACCAGGGCTAAAGTAGGAACAACTGACCTCCACACTCACAAATAGGATCCCAGTTTGTATTCATAACATTCAGTTTGTGTGTTATCTTTGTGATCTCTGTATCCTTCCCCAATCTGATCTCAGTCCGTCTCACTCAGGAGTCACTGGGGTTTACTGTCCCGGGGCGTAGGGCCAGCTGATGGAGCTCCCTGATAGCTGCATGTCTCGGATCAGCGTCTCGATCGGTGTCTTGCCCACAAGCCGCATGAAGAAGAGCTGGGAGATAAGGTTGGCCGGCACGGCACGCAGAGCAGGGAGACGCAGCAGTAAGCGACCAAATCGCTGAGGCTGGTTGGGATACTGCAACCTTTCATACTCTGTCAGGGCGACCTGGGCCTTCTCCTGCAGGGACTCTACATGGGCCGGGTCTGTCAGACCACATGCATCTGTAAGGCAAAGACACAGAGGATGTTGTCACAATTTAAATTTTGTTTCTATTTTCAACCCTGTTTCCTAGAAATATTGTCTTTTTTACACTCAGGGCTTCTTTACTCTTGTAAATTTAAAAATTTAAGTAAATTTTGGTCCCTTTAAGGAATAGTTTGAAATCTTGGGAAAAAATATGCTTTGTTGAGAGTTGGATTAGAAGATCAATCCCAATCTCAAGTCTGTATGGTAAAAATTAAACTATAGCCAGCAGCTAGTTAGCCTAGTTTAGCACGAGGACTGGAAACAAGAGGAAAACCACTAGTTTGGCTCTATCCAAAGGAAGCTAAATCCGCCTACCACAACCGCTAAAAAAGTCACTTCACCTGGCCTAAAAACATAACCCCAGTAAAATCACAACTTGTCTTTCAACTTTGGTTTTCACATAGATTAAACAAACAAGATTTAATAAGTTAATTAGCGAGCCTTAGAGTCTTTGTACAGACCAGACTAGCTGTTTTCACCTGTTCCCAGTATTTATGCTAAGCTAACCACCCCATGCCTGCAGTTTCATATTTAATGTTATATTTAATTAATATTCAAACCATTTTTTTTCAAGGATATTCTCTTCTCTGCTAGTCCTCCTTCAGTGAGGTCAGAGGTCACACTCATTCATATCAAAATTGCCCTACAACTGGTAGGGATTTAATTTAGTTTTTCTTGCTGGTCCAGAAACTATCCCTATCCAATACCTCACACAGACAGTTTTGTTTTGGTTTTCTCTAAAGACACTTGGGGTCAGTGTACAGTAAACACACCCAGTTGTAGTAGCTCTCATCACATAGATAACCTTGTGAGAAGTCTACCAAACTCACCAGGTGAAAACAGTGCAATGGCTTTGAGGCAGCTGTACTCGGCTGTGTCCACCTGCAGCCTGTTCAGCTTGTCCACCTGGTCCTGGAAAACCCTGACCTGGTCCATGAAGGACACCACGCGCTCAGCAGACATAGGGGACGAGTGAAACCCAGCTGCTGCCAGCAGAGGAGCCATGTGCAGAGGCAGAGCAGACTGAGCAGCATTCAGGATGAAGAGCTCGCTCCAGCTCAGCCTCAGCAGAGCCACCTGCAGGAAGGATTGGAAATTAGGAAACGGTCACTTAGAGTAGTGGGTCTAAATAGGCCTTTGTCACAGCAGACAATTTGTCTTGTCATAGTAGGAAAAGCATAGGTGTCACTAACAAAATCAAGTGTTTCAGTAAAGTACATTGGGCTATTGGGTAAGTCTATGGGGTCACAGTTCCTGGGTCACAGTTTGTGGTTAAGGCTGAAAAGACAGGTATAATTTTACATAAAAATATTAGCTGTGTTGTTCAAGCTGTAATGTTTGCAGCTGAATTTTAAAATATAATCTGCAGTGAAAATCTAAATTGGTTTTCAAAAGGAAAGAAAAAAAAAAGAAAGAAGATGTCTCCAGTCTTAACATACCTGCTCTGAGACAGGCAGTTCTGGGAAGTATGGGATGTTTCTGGCCCACTCGATGGTGCTGAAGAGGAGCCGGGCAGCCAGCTCACAGATGCTGTCGATGCCCATGACTGAGCCTCCGCTCGCAGATGCCTGCATCTGTGTCTGGCTGTAAGGGGCCCCGTAACGGCTGCTGGGGTACGGCTCGGCCCGGAGGAGCTGTGAGATGAGATCTGAAACCGGCTGCCCGTTGAAATAATCTGCCCCAATGTGACCTGGCCCTGCACCTCCAACTCCACCAGCCAGGGAGTTTGGACTGATACCTGAGTGAGACGGAGGGATCCGACCCCGCTGGACAGCTGCATGAAAGGAACCAAGAGAATGCGAATCTGATGGCATGCCTCAAAACATTAGATGTTTCTTACACTGCTGCACTGTTGCTTCACTCCAAGGAGAAATTCAGAGTATAATCATGCCTGATTGAAGCAGGAGACAAGGGGTGAAATGTACCTGATTACATTTAATCAAGCATTGTACTTAAGTACAATTTTGAGGTACTTGTGCTTTAATTGAGTATTTCTGATTTACTTTATTTTTCTACTCCACCACATTTCAGAGGGAAATATTGTTCTTTTTACTCCTCTACATTTGTCAGACAGTTAGTTACCCTCTCATCCTTTGTGTGAGTACATTTGGTTGACAATACTTATCTATTTTTACCTAGGTGGCAATTTGAATGCTGAACTTTTACTTGTAACAGGGTATTTTACATTGTAGTATTTTACTTACTTACTTACTTTTACTTACTTAAAAAATAAGGACTTTATATTGCAAGTACAGATACACAAGAAAAGCAATGTGTAAGTGTAACCACTGCTTTTTAAATGTAGATATTTGTGTGGATTTCCATCAAGCAGAAGAGATAGACAGCAAACATAAGGGAAGAAAGCAGGGTGAATGTCTTGCACATAGGTCCTCGGCTGGTAATGAACTGAGGTCGTTGCTGTTGTAGTGTACCACACACTTCCTCCACCTCGGGGTCCCGCAAATAGCATCAAGCCTACTAACTCCTGGTAAGAGTATGAAATAGGTTCGCTTTCACCAGTTAAATGCATTAACAGTGAGGCTTTATTTCATTCTAATTCTTTGTGATTGAAAGCTAAGGCCAATATCCTAATGTGAGTGCTCTGCCTGTACTGCCCTAAATATTAATTAACACTGATGTATTTCTGAAGTGGCAGTGAATACAGTCTCTGTGCCAAAAAAATCTCACTGAAGCAGTCTGGGTTAAAGGTGAAACAGACATTTCCAGGTAATGTGGAAACAGTGCAACCTGCGTCATGGCCACAGTCAGCATGGTTCATTAATAACCAGGCCCAATATAACCTCTGGCATACTGTCACCTCACTGCACATTATGTATGGGAGAGCTTGTGGTATCCACTGACACAGACTGAAATACAAGAGGAGTTAAATTACACTAGAATACAATTACAGACTTCACTATCAATAGACGTCATACTGACCATGGCAGTAAATTAAAACACTGAAATATTTTGTGATGTGATAATGAGGGTTGAATAGCTGGAATGAAAATAATTACACCAGGCAAATAGGAGTCACTGTTGTGGAAAATTTGAAACTGTAATTAACTAGTTATATGGCATTTTCACCAGCGACCGACAGCTCAGTGTGTTTTGACCAAATATGTCCACTTGCTGTTCTATTTTCCTGTTATGCAAATCAAACATGGTTGCCTCAAGTTGCCCCATTGTCCCTGAAGCCCAACAGCTGCAGGGAGTCAAACACCAGGGTGAAAACATGCTTTGGTTGACAGTATAAATATTCACTGGCAAATGTCAGTGGCTGTTTCTTACACTTTCTCTGGGAATTACTCATTCCTGGTATTTATGTATTTGTATGCGTGTTTCTGAGTATTTGAACTTGTGTGTGTTTGTCTTTCTTCAGGGTGTTCGGGCATGAATCAGTCTGTTTGTATGTATGTAAAAGAGAGGATATGATTGTTTTACACCTCAGTGTTGGAAAGTATCTGAGTGCAATTACTCAAATACATTTTGATGTAAATGTACTTTACTTGTTCTATTTTATGCTTTTCCAATACATTTCAGGGGAAATGTGGTTCTTTTCTTATTCGCTTTTTGCACTGTACGACATTTACAGATATTATATAAAAATAGATGACTTATGACTAATTACTTATCACTTAAATTACATTCACCTCTACCAGTTACAACATTAAAATGCTGTTTATACATTCATTCATCAGTAATAATGAAAAAATCATAATAAAAGGGGCCATTTTGCAAAGCAAATTACTTTTACTTTTTCTAATACCTACTACTTCACACATTCTTAAGTATCTTTTGTTAAGTGCATACATGTGCTCTGATTTAAGTGATATTTTTCAAAACTTTTACTACTACTACTACTAATTTAATGTTTTTACACTGTAGTGTTTCTTATAACCCACATCAGTTGATTTTTTTTATGTTTGGCTGCTTGGGGAAAGTGTAAACTGTAAATACAACACTGATATATTATCACCTTATATTGCTGTAATACGTTTTTAGAGCGTTTTCTCTGAGAACAGCTGCATGCTACAGAGGCAAATGTGGTGAGAGTAAACCAGAACGGTAAAATAGTGGGCTGTGAAACCTAGACAATGAGCTAAAATGATGCTGATGCCCAGTTAAGCTGCAGAGTCAGGTGAAACAAACCCCTATTATCAATATGAAAATATCGATTAATTTAGCTTTAAGTAAAGGACTTTCCACCAATGTCAAATCTTGAAAGTTGAACAGTAGCCTCAGCTACTCGTGTGACGCGGTTCACTCTTCAGTTCTTCACCTCTGGCAGTGGAAAACTCATTTGTGTGTTTACTAACCCTGAAAAAAAAACACCTTTAACCTGCTGTGTACATGGATAATACCTTCTTTGCGCATCCCAACTCGGAAACATTTCTTCAGCCGACAGTATTGGCACTGGTTCCGGTGATGCTGGTCGATTTGGCATTCACGATTTGATCTGCACAAAGGAAACAAAATATTGAACATGCAATAAAATATATATAATATTTGATGATAGTAACCTGTAAATTGATCACTGAGCTTTCTCTCCTCTCTCTCTCTCTCTCTCTCTCTCTCTCTCTCTCTCTCTCTCTCTCTCTCTCTCTCTCTCCCTCTCCCTCCCTCTCCCTCTCTCGCTCTCTCACTCTCTCACTGACCCCTACGATGAGTGAACTGTGTGAGCTGGCCGGGCTGAAAAGCTATCAAGGCTGTGACCTTTGTAAATCATCAGCTCTACACACCCTTGTGTTGCCATTTACAGCAGGACGAGGTCTGCCAACATTTCAAAGAGAGCCCTTTTCAGCCCTGGACATGACAAACTGACTACAAAGACACCTCCCATTCAGAGTTAGTGCATTATTATGTGGAAGAAATGACTATATTCGGTAGCTGAGAGCTCCTTGTGTAAGAGCAGAGAATTGAGTTGCAACATTGTGTTCCTGTGGTGAAGAATAATGGGAATGTTGACCTTCTGAGGCAATCCATCCTCACATGACTGACCTTCAGGGCTTTTCATTTCTTTTATTTTTTCCCGGGGCTGTTTGTGAGACGTATCCAAGGTTGGAACAAATCATTCCCGAGTGAGAAATGGACGTAATCTGCTGTCTCCGTCATGAATGTGAATGCACATATAATGGTTTGTAAAAAAAGATGCTAACCTTTTCCTATAAACCTTCAATAAATGATTAATAACACACTATAATGTAGTTGTGTGCAGAGGTAAAATGTAAGTGAATATAGAGTATATGTCAACTATTATCATTTCTAATATAAAGACATATTTTTTTATATCATTACACCTGTGTTTTACTATATTGTCATCCATTCTCTGTTTATACAGCAGCCAGTCAAGTGTGCCCATAGGAGAAGTTAATAAACACTTACATGTGCTTACAAAAACATTGTAATATGTTATAAACTGTTAATTTACATGTAAAGTAACATTTAAAGTAAAGTGTGACCAAAAAGACAAGTTCGCCAACAAGAAAAGGCAGCAAAATAAATGAAATGTGCCTTGTTTAACTTTACATTTATAGCTGTTCAAGCTGTGAACACAATGAGATATCATGTTTAATCTCCCAGCAGCCCCTACCTGCAGGAGTAGTTGAGGTTTCGTCTGATGCTCCTCTTGAAGAAGCTCTTGCAGCCCTCGCAGGTGAACACGCCGTAGTGCTTCCCGCTGGACTTGTCCCCGCACACCACACAGTCCACCACACAGGCCTTGTCCTCGTCCCCAACGTCCACATCGCTGCTGCCGGCCTGTGGCGATCCGTCCTCTTCCTCCCTCCTCAGGTAAGCCTTCTCCCCCAGTCCATTAGTGTCCCCGTTGGGGTTGCCCCATCCCCCGCTCACCATGGCCATATTCTCTGAGACACGCAGTCCAGTGAGTGGATCATACACAGCGCCGCCCTGTCCCCCAGCTTCCAACTACCTTCAGAGTCTAAAAACTGATTCCAGACTCAAAGACAGTGGCTCCAGGTTTGTAATTCAGGGCAGGCTTCGTCCAAAAATGTGATGAAAAGTTGTCCTCCACGGCTCCACGGTGTTGACCTTTACCCCCTTTGCAGTCTGCTTGGACTGACCTGGAGGTCCCTCCCAGTGCTGTTTTTTCTCTCTTCTTTAATCCCTCTGCTGTCTCTGTTCTTGTCTTTCACCCCTCTGTTTTCTGCCCTGACCTCTGATCAATGGCTCCCAAGGTCTGAGAAAACTTCAGACACACATTTAGTGGTTCAGAGTTCAAGCAGGAGAAAAGGGTGCAGCCTTGCTCTTTTCACAGGAAACAATAAATTACACTTTGACTCCCTCTTTCTTTCGCCCTCCCTCTCACTTTCTCTCTCTGTCTCCCCCCTGGAAGAAGGTAAAAAAAACAAAAAAAACACCTCACAAATCCCTAAGCACAGTGGTGAGGGACAAAACAAGAGTTGCTCTCCAAATAAAAGAAGAAGCTCAGCCCCTCTCCCTCGGTGCACGACTTTCTCCCAAAAGGACAAACAAGTGGGAGGAAAATAAAACACAGCTCTCCTTCAGGCAGGGTTAAACTGCCCTGCCCTCTCCTCCAACTTATAAACTAGTCCAACCAGTTCCTGCCGTGCAGAGGTGTTATCTGCTGATCTGAGGCAGTTCTAGTCCAGACGCACTCTTGACTTGTCGAGGCTGTTATAGGAGCAGAGGTGATAGTGATGAAGAGGAAAAATAAAAGACAACTCGACAAGTATTTTGGCTCAGGAACCTTTGTGCCCTCAAAATAACCATATGTAGACGATGATCCCACACTTGATATTAAAATGAGAAGCGCGCTGAGAAAAACAATACACTCCTTTGACTCCCAGAAAATCTGGTTTCTGCAGCAACAGAGTTCTTGAAAGACGTCCTCCTCTTCTGCTGTCTGTGGTGAAATTATGTTTTCTCCAGGCTCCTCCAACTCCTCAGAGTCTGTGGTGTCAGAGGCTCAAATGTCACAGAAAAAACAACAAGCCAGAACAAAAGCAGAGTTGAGTAATCTCCTTAGTCGCAGTTCTCTTCTCTTCTCTCAAAGCTCCACAAAGTGTTGTCTCTCTCCCCCTTCTCTTGTTTTGTCAGTGCTTGTCCATCCAGCAGTAACAACCAGAGGCCAGAACCTCTCTGCATTCCCTGTCAGCGAGTCAGGGTGTACTGTTGCACTCTTTACTATTCTGCCTGTCCTTTTTTTTTTTTTTTTTTTTTTTCTTTCCGTCTTTCTTCTGCTGGCCCCGGCAGGAATAAATTAGGCAAACAAGCGCAGGAAAAACACGGTCACAGACCTTTTAGTGAAAGCCAGACGCTGCAGTGGAGAGCAGCCCAGAGATAGCCTCCTCTCCTGCTCCTCTCAATCCCCTCTCTGTGTCTCTGCCTCGCTCCCTCCTTTAGGGAGAGTGAGCTGTGTCTGTGTGCTGAGGGATTTGACACTGCTATTCAAGCCCTGCCGTTGCCATGACACTGGATGCCTTATAAGGCCAGAGGAGTCAAAGAGCACAGAGTGGGCTGCAGCCACACACACACACACACACACACACACACACACACACACACACACACAGAATGAATGCCTGGCTGCCTGACTGGCTGCCTGTTTCCCCCCTGACCTCGGGCGGGCCTGCGAGCAAGGGGTAGTTGACCTCAACACTGCCATGAGACAAAGAGGGGTGGGGGCCTCGGGTCGACACACAGCGAGCGCATGGCACTCGCACTCATGTTCTCCACTCCACTCTAATCCTTAAGACTTCCTCCGACTTTGTTGACCCAATAATAACAGGGAGGGCCTGTTGTTGTTGAGTAACTTGTCTAAAGGTTATATGATATGCCACCGGCTCCTTTTCACACCTGCTGCACACACTCACAGGTCAGTGTGAAGGATGCCAAAGATCCACGGTAGCTGCTGGGTCCTGGATGGTACTGGTTATACATTTGTAAGCACATTTTAAGAAGGGTGATTTTGTATTGTATGTCCATGAAATTGTTGGACTTGCTAGAGACAGATCAAAAAAAAAAAAAAAAAAGAATCAGTGAAACAGAGATCAAGATATTGTGACTTTTAGTCCACATCTTTGAAACCCGACCATCTTTAGGAATTACACATGTATTGGACACTTCTGTGTTTCACGATTAAGCCTATGTCAATGCCAATGTTCAGTGCAAATGCAGAAAGTAGTGAGCCCTATACGTAGTGAGGCAGAAAGCGAGGGTGTAGCGGTTGGGGTAGTGCACAGGAGAGTAGCATGTACTTTCATAAGGGAGAGCTTTCGTGGAGGCCCTGCATTTAATGACTGAATTTTTATCAACCGTAACCACAGTCTTTGGCACCGGCATTAACCATGTGTTTCAGGTGCCTAACCACAACCATATCTTAACCCTGTTTTATTTGTCACAACCAGATCTTAGGTCCGTCTGATTGCCTGTGTGTGTCTCTAGAACTACATGTCCTGTAAGTTGTGCTGACAACGGTCCATTGACAGAAATGATATATCACTTTTTCCCCCACATTTTGTCAGCTTCAGCACATGGATGCTGTGGATGTTGTACATACAAAGTGCAAGACCGACACACAGTTTGCATCCTGAGTCAAGTGTTTAGAGGAGGTTAAGGCAACAAAATCACTTAAAAGAATCAGGAAAGGTCAATGTTTTGGAGAAATGTTAATGAACTTAAATAACTTTTTGTCATGTTTAAAGCCACTGTTGACTTTGTCAGTTTAAAACCACATCCACAATCTTTGAGTTGTCTAAACACAACCACAGACAGGTTAATGATTGAAATATATCATCAGACAGCATTTTGCAGATACGTTCTTATTTGTTAATTAACATTTCCTCATTACCTTGATAAAAACATCGTCATGGTGGCATTATGTTTCCTTCAAAATATCTTTGCTATTGCAAATGAATTAGATATAAATGTAATTTAGGAGCCAGGGTTGCTGGTTTGACAGTGTGTAGTGCTACTCATGACAACTAATGGTCATCATGTGCCCTTTAACTTAGACTGCATGGTATGAAGAAAAGAAGTACTGTATGTATAATGCTTCTGTTTTACAAACCCAGTAATAATTTGCTGTGTAACCCGTCCGTCGTCTTGGCAGAAGGCAGTGCTCCTGTGGAATTTCTGGCAGCTTTGTCTGTCATACCAACAGCACTGTCATGTGAAGGTCTCTCGAAAAAAGGGAGGACAAAATAAACAATCAGAGCCTGCAACCAAGGTTTCCAATAACAGCCTCCAAACGCAGGAAAAAAAAAACCCACAGAGGAGGTATTCACTGGCGCTTACAAGCATGCCTGCTTAAAAGAACCTCTATGTACCAAAAACTGTTTGCTCATCACATGGTTTTACAGGAATTCCCCCTGAGTGACAAAACATTTTGTCCATTGTAGCTTCAAAAGAATATGCTGTCTCTCACAAAAATGTACAAATATCAAAGGAGCAAAAGGCCTTGAGTTAAAAGCTGATTAAAAGAGGGTTGGAAGGAAAGGAAATAAGTTCTCTTACACACGTTTAGTCAGTGAGGTTAATTCAGCCTTTTAAATGTGAGCATAAGGCAACTTTAACCCACATCCATCACAGCGAGACTCATTGTGCATGGATAGGCCTTTTGTTTGGTTAAGAGGTTATCAGGGGCCAAGCTAAGCTGCTGTAAGTTGAATTAGTGCTTTCCTTTAAGCCTCTGTCTATGTGTATTAGCAGTGGTCAGACCATGAGGAGTAGTGTTTGATATTTTCTCATGAAACAGTATAATGTAAGACTTTAGATATTTAAAGAGGTGTGTAGGGTGAAACTTTAATCTCAAGTGTAAATGTCAGATGTTGTTTTTTAACAGCTCTCAATCACTTTTGTTTAATGACAACAGCGAACACTAACCAGGGAAGACTTGAATAAGCCCTTTGAGGATGATAAAAAGGAAAAATGTCCACCACTGCTTCCATAGAGACACACAAAGAAAGAAATGATTTTTGTGGCGATCTCTAGTGTACAGAGTCTGTACATGTTTGTGTACATGCTTAAGCCTGGAGTAAAATGGTGTATGTGTAACTTTATTGTAATAGGAAATTAACTTTATTGTAAAAGAAAATTAAACTTGTTGATATTTTCAACTCCCCTAAATATTGAAGTGTGAAGAATAAATCACACATGACCAGTCACAACATTAAGGCTCCTTGTGACCAAAATGAAAGCTGTTAAAGTGTGGCAAACCAAACACTTTGATCAGTTAAATACTGAAAAGTAAACTCCTTTTGATTTAAGACTGTTACTAATTGATTCATTGATTCCAATAAACAAATTAAAAGTGACTCATGTACCAAAGTACCTGACAAGAAATATTAATATGTGGTTTTTTTTTTTGTTTTTTTTGTGTGTATTTGTCACTTGGAAATGTTGCTATTGTATAACAAGCACATACTCTGTGTAAAGTGTGTCTTGGCGTTGTACAGACTTGATTTAATCTTTGAATTTTGTAAACAAAAACTTTGACACAGTAAACATGAAAACAAGACTCTCGCTGCTTCTGAAACGTGTGGAATCAAAGGAAATGGAAAGGATTTGGTCGTGGAAAAGTGTGACGGTGACAATTAGTGAAATAATGAGGTGTGATCAGTTTGTCATTAAAAGCAGACCACAGTATGTCCTCTTGATAAATGCAGTAAGATGAAGACCACCTCTCTTAGAGGTCAGATCACTGACCTTTCTGCGGGTTTGGGGGTTGAGATCAGAGCAGCAGTGTTCATGTCTGCAGCTCTCCTGTTGCAGCTGCAGTGTTTGTATTTGAAGGAACAGACTCACAACACATTTGTTTGGATATGAGCTCGAGTGTGCCGGCATGTCGTAGCAGTTACACAAGTATCGCTGTGTTTCAATGTGTTTCTTTTCATGTCTGTGGCAGTGTGCACGTGGCCTTGTGCAACTGCACATATGCCTTACATATCTGGCAGTAAGTTGGTGTGTGTGTGTGTGTGTGTGTGTGTGTGTGTGTGTGTGTGTGTGTGTGTGTGTGTGTGTTCTGTGCTCTTTGAACTGCAGGTCAGGAATGCAGCTGCTCTCAGCGTGAAGTTGACTGTGGCGGAGTCTGTGCATTCTCAACACAGTCAGGAGTCCAGAGTGAAGCAGATTAACCTTCACTACACTCACCTGGACAATGCATACACACACTGTCTGCACAGGGACCTGAACATGTACCTCTGATTAACCCAAATGTTCTGCTTAAATTTCTCCTTAGAAAATGATTTTCATACAATATTTAGTTTGTGCTTGTTCCAGCGTTTCACTGGAGCTACAGTATATGATACTTAAATTTGATATTCTAACACGGCTGCACATTTAGTTCAAATGTAAATACCGTAAATGCAACCATACTGGAATATTTTCTAATGACAATTACTACTTTCCCGGCTATGTTTACATATAAGAAAGAACTGATTGTTGTTGTGAATTGTATTATCAGAAACTGATAATTATAGTAACCAAAATACTGTAAAAATCCAGCTTCAGCTATCTTTAGGTACATAAAGTTACACCCATCTGTGGGACGGTCAGTGTATGTGCATTAACAGTATCATGGAGGGAATTTGCGAAATGAAATGAAAATATTTCACATATAAGCAATTAAACGGCTAAAAAGGTGTATTTACATCATCAAGGAATGAAGTGAAAATGCAGCTTTTCTCATTCACAGACACAGGACTTCTGTAGACATGGTAAGAACATGAGACAGCGAGACAGACATACTTTTATGATATGATAGGTTTGACCAGTTGAAACCCCTTGAAGGCTGTTGGAGCTGCTGCATTGTGATTAACTGTTTAGCAGGGATTCACATTTCTGCTTCTGTAATCTTCTCAAGAGAGAAGAGTATTAGATCAGATTCATCTTCATCTGCTAAAAACTAAGCAGCTGCAAGAGCTGACGTTTTGCTTCTGTTTTTAGAGAATGACAGAAACATAACCTACAGCTAATGTAGAACTCAACGCGTTTCATGTTTTTTGTACATTCCCTGAGTTTGACCCCCGTTTGAAACTGAATCAGTTCTCTGTAAATGTTGGACTGAATATTAGTCTGAATGTGTTTTAACTGCATTAGCTGCTGTGTAGAGGAATTTGAAAACTGGGGTTAAACTTTAACTCTGAGGAGTAACTCCGGGCGAACAAGCACATGAGCACATGACTCCCTGCTCCTTCCTCATTAGCCCCACTGCCCTTTGGCCCAGAGGCCAGAGAGGAAAAATCATCTTCTCCTCTCTCTTTCCACTCTCTCTCTCTCTCTCTCTCTCTCCCCCTCTCTCACAACACTCTCTCCATCCTCAGGCCTTTGACCTCGAGCGAATGACGGAGCAATTTAAAATAAACAGGGCAGTGGAACCTGCCAAAGAAAAACATCTGCTGGGGTGACTCCAGAGCAACACGCGGTGTCCAATCAATATTTGCCCTCCTCCTCGCCCAGGACCTGCTGGAGGTGGTGGGAAACTTCCCATTTGGTGTGTGTTTGTTGTCATTCAAATCAGCTATCTAGTGTTTTCTGTGAACAAGGTATCAACCCATTGTTTGAAGAGGAGTCAATAGAAGTATTTAGGTACTGTAATGGCAGTGGAGCCTTTTTTTCCTGTTTGTCTGCTGTAAAGATAAGAGACATTATTGAATGAGGCTGATGTTAAACTGAGATGGAAAATAAGCCTTGGCTTTACTCTGACTCAACCTCTTGATCCCTGACATTCACAATAATCCTATTCCTTTTCTCTCTTTCAACACCTTTTGGCAACACACTGTATATATTTTAAACCTTGGAAAAACAGCTGCTTGTTCTCTCATCCAGCAGACGCACAGCAACATTGACTGCCTTTGTTTTTAGCTCATTTTAGCTTTCTTAAAATTCACAATTGTTCAGTAACTTTTCTTTGTTTTTAGCTCCATTGAGCCTTCATACATTGTCGTTTGGTATTTACAGTTGTTTTATTTGTGTGCTTGATGTTGTATTGTCCTCTTTCAAACTTGTAGGTCTCCATTGAAAAAGAGGTTTCTGACCTTAATGGGATTAACCTTGTTAATTAAGGTCAAATAAAACAAAATAAATGATCATTTAGAAGCTCTGTTTTGATCTCCATCAAACTCATTGGGGAAATATTGTAGGTCTTAGCACTTACGTAAGTTGGTAAATGCTCCCCTCTTTCTTATTTGGTGCTGAGCAGGTAGAGCACAGTGGGTTTATCAGCCACCTGCTGTGGCCAAAAGTGAAGTTGATGAGCAGTGAGAGTGAACCAAAACAGAATGAGCTGAAAGATGCTGAAACACTCAGTGGAGCAGACGGGAACTGCAGATAACCGCTCTGTGGGTTCATCACTGCAAGTGACACTTTTGACAGTACATGTGCTGTAGTCATTTGACTCATTGTTAACATAAATTGCCCGTTTACCAGTGTTAGTTGACTCCCAGTAAAAGCAATGAATCGTCACCAGGCAGCACATGTGTTTATTGTCCAACATAAGTGAAAGTTCAGCAGACTCCACTTGCAAATTTTGACCTTGTGTCTACTGTGATGCTATTGTTCCCACTTATCACATAAAGTTTAAATATTCAAAATATATTCAAATGCAGATTTTCTATGGCAGCCATTCAAGTTCATCAAGTGAAGCGTTTGAGGTTGATTTGTGTGGAAAGCCATCGTGATCATAATTGCTTTTATGCATTGTTTTCTAATCATAATGTAATAATACATCACAACAATCACAGTACTTTCAGTACAGGTGTATTCAACAAGACTTCTGGAAATCCTGAGTTGATTTTAAAATTAAGCTCTGATGATTTGAACTGTGATTGTGCAGACATTGTAAGTTTGTAATTATAGGACCAGCTGAAGGATCTGTGGGGTTGAGGAGGCTAGCGTTACTTAAGACAACTGTTTAGCTCAATGTTGTGCTTCAGATGTAAAATGATTACCATTGACAGGCTGTCAATATGTTGTCAGCAGATAGCCCATCTGAAAGATGAACTCCTTTGCTTTTAGCATCCAAGAGGCCTGACATTTTCAGACAGGGCATTAACCTAACGCTTTCTGCAGCCACAACAATTTGATCGAGTTCCCAATCACCAGCTTCAATCTCTTGTAAATCTGTGTCCAATCTGTTGCTCCCTGATTGTGCCCTCTCCTATCAGCCAGACATTGCCTATAGGTCAACGAAGGTGCTTAGGATGACAGAAAATTAACCTAATCAGCTCAGTGAAGACGACTCAAATGCTTTAACAGGATTAGGCCAAGGCCACTCCCCCAGCCATCTTTCCCCTCTAAACACCTTATTGCTGTAATCTACTGTACACAAGCTGACGAGTTGAGTGACCTCATTAGCTCATCTGCTCTGCAGGTTTTTGTTGTTGGTCTGGACACTCATCTGTTGTGTGTTCAACTCCCACTAAAAAACACCCAGACTGTCAGTTTCCTACAACAGGGTGGCGTCATTATGGAAGATTCATCTCAGATGAGTGTTAGGTTTCATTCAGGTGTGAACTGAAAAACTGGAAAAACATACATTCCTCTGAAAAGCTGAGAGGTGCCCTAGAGGTTTGGAGATTTGATACACCAACTATGAACCACAACATTCCTCTTTCAAGTCTGGCCAGGGACCATTGTCAAACGTAATTCTCCATATCTCATTCCCCTCATTTATTGTGATCTTTCTACTGTCTAATCAGAAAATTCTATCAGAAATGCAGCATTGAAAATTGGAATAGAAAACAATTTTGTGCAGTGTCCTGTGCCCTAATACATAATTTCTTTCATAAATCATGATATAAATAACAAAATAAAGCAAGGCCTTTGTATGTTATCCAAGCACATAGTCTACCTAATGCTGAGAGTGTTAGTTGTAAACATTTAAAATGTCAAAGTTTCAGGAATTACAATTAGAAAGTATTAATATTATAGCTTGATCTACATTGTGGCATCGATCCAATGGGATGAATTTCAGGCATCAAACAACTTTCTCAACCTACTGACAAGCGTGCGTGCAATCCTATAATAGGATCTTAAGCATGTAAATGCATTTTCAACGGACAACAATAATATCCAACAAGACTTCCCTCTTCATCCGGGGGCAGTGTAATGCCGTGGTGGCCTGTTGGTTTGAGCTGTTTGCTGTCATTATTTGAGTGGGTGAGAGCACAAAGCGGATGTGATAGGCCGTTTGATTGAGGTCAAATCTCTTTCACACTTCTCCAACGCCGATAGCACCCCATCATCCCGACCTCTCCACAGGCAGACTGGTGTCAGAAAGCTCAGGAGAGAGGTGTCAGGTCAGCATGTCAGCATCCCACAGCACAGAGCATAGAACAGAGAGATATAGAGAGGAGGAGGAGATGAGAGGGGATATGGAGTGGCTGTGACAGGTGAGCTAATGGCTTTGAGAAAGAAAGGGCACGGGGATGAAGGCACAGGCTGTGATCTCTTTATACAGCTTACAGAGGGACAACTTATTAAAATGAGGAACAGATACAGAGAGTAAATGAGTTGACCTAAAACCCCCGGGTCACTACCCCCCTGCATGTGCTTGTGTGTGTGATTGCTTCCACCCCCACACTGATTGACAGCCTCTGTCATTGTCTAATAATGCTTTGGGTATTTTTCCCAGGCACTGAAAAACTCTCCTTTCCACAGGCCCGAGCACTGGCTGTTACATGTCGGGGGAAGAAATGTGTCCAGAAATGTGGATCTTAAAATCTGCCAGATGAGATTGTTATAGTCTTTATACCTTTCCAAAAAAGTGACCATTTAAATACCAGAATCATTCAGCTCTCATGTGCTTTGTTTGACTTTCTTATCTTACACAGTCATTAGTGCATATTTACAAAACTGTATTTCAATGCATATTTCATCCCAGACGTATCTGCAATAACTGTATCCTGAGCTAGATTAGATTAAACCATTAACTTTCATGTGGGATCAAGGTTAAACCAATGTGATATTAATTCAACACAGAAATTTAAAAGTGTGTTCGAAGAATATTTATTTTAGAGCTATTTAAAAAGCCCCAGCACTTTAGTGAGTTCAAGCAGTGGAATAAGTACATTTACTTAAATACTATATTAAAGTACAACTTTGAAATATTTGTACTTTACTGCAGTATTTCCATACATCTCAGAATTGTACTATCATTCATAGTATTGTAGTATATAGTATTTACTCCACATTGGTTATGGTAACTAGTTACTTTTCAAATTTAACTTTTTACAAACAAAACATATGATGAGTCACATCACGTCTATGATCAGCAGGAATAATCAAATAATCAAATATTTAAAAGTATATATAAGTATATGCTTTTATTCTTTTCAATCCAGGACTTTTAGTTGTGATTGTGTATTTGTAAAGTATGGTGTTCCTTCTTTTACTTAAGGAAAAGACCTAAATAGTTTTTCACCATGATGCAGTGGCACTGTTAAAATCATGAGACTGAGCAGTAATTATAGATTACCATAAACACGAAGCTGCAATACTGATGTAGATGCAGTGATGGAAGGAAACAAAATACATTTACTCAAGTATGTCACTTAGTTCCATGCTACTCTTACTTATACTTTTACTCCAAAGGTAGATGCAAATATAGTAAAATAATAAAATAATTTTTACTAAATGTATTTGACATCTATACTTACAAGATACTTTACATGTTAGTATTTTACATAAATAATCATGATGGGTTCATAAAATACAGAACATTGTTACAGATTAAACTAAACTGTATATAAGGTAGGTGCAATTAGCTCCAGCTTAACAAACTACAACAGTAAAATGCTACATTCACAGGAATCTAATACTGTGATATTTAATACAATATCAGTCACTGTAGCCATTTCTCTGAAGAAGCACTTTTACATTGATACTTTTAATACACTTTCTTGAGTAAGATTACTTGGTGTTGATACTTTCACCTTAGTAAAAAGACCTGAATACTTCTCCCGTCAGTGTATGGATGCACATACACTGAGCAATCATGATTAAAATACCTTTTTCTTTCTGAGACATTTTGTCTCTTTTGATGCAAGAGTCACCCAGAGGTTACAACAGTCATGTCATCTAAAAAACCTTTGAAGAGCTTAGAAGCTCAACATAGACCTTAGAGAGAGGGAACACAAAATGGAACGATAATTGTATCATCTGCTCTAATGGCAGCTATTACAACAATAGCGATGGTGACCTGGAGGTATGGGGGCAGTGCGGAGGACAGGCCCTCTGCGGTGACCTCTGCTCGGGAAAGGGCAAGCTCGGGCAAGAGTCAGGGCGTCGGGGGCTCGCCACCTCGTCTGGCACTATGAACCCTCCATTCACCGGCTAACACAACAGCCAGGCATCGCTGTGACCCTGGGGGGTGTGACACTCAACCTTTGCCTTAACCTCCTGACCGCCGGTCACAGCTGCAGCTGACCGGCTCGGGCGGGTCAGGGCACAGGGTCGGCTGGAGGGGGGAGAGGGGGCAAAGATGATTGAGAGATGAGCGGGGAGAGAAGATGGAGGGAGAGGGTTAAAGGCGGAGAAACTGAGGTGTATGTAAGATGTAAAGAGTAAAAGATGGCTATGAGGAGAAGGTAAGAGATAAACTGGTGGGGTTTTAAAGGGTTGGTTCACTCAAATTATAAAAAAACAAACTATTTGAGTTTTTTATTTTTCTTATTTTTAGATTTGTCCATGTGTTAAGATATTGCTATACTTGCCATAAGGATAAGGCAGATGTTTCTAAAATCATCAAGGCCAACATTAATCCAGTGACTCCCAGTGTGGGGTCAGGACCTCACAGAATAAATCTGAGGGGTTTTGAGATTATTAACAAGATTGGAAATAAGGAAATAAACATTTTCTGCTGCAAAAATTGTTTGATTTTGTCAGACTTCACTCGAATGCTCACTTCTTTATTGTGACAGTGAATAGTTTTCTTCATAGTTCTTTGAATGAAACGATCTGAGTTGTACTGCATGTAACTGACATGCAACCTGTGACAAAGTGAAGGGCTCAAAAATAGACAAATCTATGTGCATGGCTAGATACCACCAGAGATAAGTGAGATTTTATTTTCTCAATTTGGGTGAAATGACCCTTTAATAGAAATGTAAAGAGTGAAAGGCAGAGAGAGAGAGAGAGAGAGAGAGAGAGAGAGAGACAGAGACAGACAGAGAGATGGAGAGAACTATGAAAGTGCAAAGAAGACAAACGGGCTGGCTGTACATTTTGTGTGCACATCAGCCATTGTTTGGGCCCCATCCCCCTTCTCAGAGCATTGTCACGACAGCACGGCCAGCGAGAGGCTTTATTGAGTCTGCTTGTGCGGGAAAAAGGACATGTGCATTGTCGAGGTCAGTCCCGAGGTCCTCAGTGGGATGAGTCCTTGAGTCAACCTCACGCATTCATGACTGCATGACAGCTGTTTCTTTGAAATAAGGAATTCGTTCTGATGCGTGAGTCCTGTTGGACAAGTTAAGATCTGGAATCCTGTTCGGTTTACTGGAAACTCACATACTGGAATTCATGGCGTTTTCCATGTTCTATTGGCCTACATACTCTAGATTTACTTCTCAAGAGCCAGAACGCCTGAACTGACTGCTGACTACTGGAGAATCACAGAGTCACAAAATAGTCTCTTCCCTCCTCCACTCCACGGCCTCCTCTGCCGTTTTTGGTGCTCCACTCTGGTTGTGGTGACTCTCCGTCATGGCCACCACTTTCTGCTCCAGCCGCCATACCTGCTCCCGATACTTCCTGCGAATCTGCCGATACGAGCTCAAGGCTTTACTGGAACAAAAGACACACCCCAGTTCAGTTCATCCACGTTTGCACGTGAGCTTCTGTTTGGATGATGATGAACAAAGACAACAGCCTATCAAATACTGTTCTAGAGCTATTTACCTGTGAGCTTGTGTGAGCCGTGCAATCTGCTCTCCATTGTCCCTCCTGTGCGAGGCGCTGTCTGAGAGAGCTGTGCTCAATGAGTCATGGACTAAAGCTAATCTCTTCTTCAGGGCTTGTTCCCTGAAAACAAACATATGATCAGATGAAACAGAAAGGAGAATATACTGTCAAGATATTCTTTTTGCTTGAGGCACTGAAGATATTTCCTCACAGAAATCCTATAAAAATCTATGTAAAGAATCATGAACGCTGTAATGGAGGTGTGTCATTGACCTCAGACAAATGTGATGAGGACTGTTTACAGCAGTGCTTTATTTAGGAGCATTAACAACTCAAGGTCAGGTGAGAAAATGGACTGAAGAACTAGAAGCTCTTTATGTCCAAAGTCTGCATCTCTGCTGATATCGTTCCTAAGCAACAGATCAAACCCAGCGGTGTCTACTGAAACCACGCAACAGACGCCTTAAGGATTCATTTTACACTGACTACATTCATTATATATGATATATGTTTTAAATCTTAATCAGATATTACCAGGTGACATTACATTCATCTGGGGGTGGTTCAAGTAATGTTTATCTAATCGTTATTTCTATCTTCATAACGGTCAAATTCTGTATTTTCCCTCTTAGATGATTTTACTGATGATTTATTTTACTGTCACCCTCTCCCATTTCCATACTGCATTGTAATTCTATACACTATATACTGCATAGTAATAGTCACAGTATACTACTTTAGCAGTTAGTACACAAAAAAAATCAAAACCAACTCAACCATTTTACACAAATAGGAAAAATACAATATGTGTCACATTGGACTTCAGTCAACTGTGAATACAAACTTCACAAAGAGAAAGCAGACTCCTTTTTTTTTGTCTCACAACCTCTGCATGGACAGTTTACCTGCACATCAACTGTATTTAGAGTCCTCGGTTTGGGACATACAGAATTCCTCACCTTTGCAGGACGGCCTGGAGCTCTTTCAGAATGGGCCTGGTTCGAGGTCCGGCAATGTCCCCATCACCACCCAGTTTAGCTGTGGTCTCACAGAGCCTCTGAAATATAACATTCATTTAGGATTATCTTTAAAGCTAAAAAAGCCCCTTTTACTCAATTCTCTTACTATTAGAAAACATGGTGGGTCCAAACCTTTTCAGCCTGTGACCATCTAAAGTGAAGCAGGTCAACAGTTCAACCGAATAATGATTTTTCCTCCCTCATAGACATTTTTAGAAGCATGAAGACATAAACATATCTAATATTTACAGAAAAAAAAATCAACTTTCCTTTGGTAGAATTTTTTTTTTGAGGGGAAGGAACATTATTGTTTATTTATTATAAGCCGAGTGGGATGATTTTGGCTAAAATAGTTAACAGGATAAAGTAGAGATCAGATCTGATCATGTGTATCTATAAAACGTGGGTTCTTTTAAACCACAAAGAAGAAAAGAAGTCAGTTTTAGAGTGAGATTCTAATCCTTGAGGCATTTTTATGCACATCGAGATAGTCTAACATGTGGAGTCTGAAGTCATAGAGAGCTACACATAAAGCCGTGTTAACCTCAAGCTGTTCAGTTCTCCATCATTTGACAAAGATAAAGGTGTGTGGTGCGGCAGAAATCTGTGCTGCAGCGACAGGACAGCCCAGCAGAAGACCTTGTGGAACCAAAATATCCTTCTTGGCCTGGAGGGATTCTGCTTTGGTAGATGTATGATTTCCCATGTGGGACACCCAGATTTGAATCGGGTCTGTCACAGTAGACCAAAGTCCTGCTCCCTCTTGCTCATTTCACCTTGACTTTATATTATTGGAAAATTAAAAAGAAAGAAAAAAAAAAAGCCTATGTTGCTGATGTAAGAGTCTGTCCTACCTGTTGTTCAGTCTTACGATCCTCCTCCAGCTCCTCTCTGAGACTTTCAGGGATGAAAACTCCAGCTGCTTCCTGGGCCTTCTGGGCCATTAAACTCCACTCCAGACACCTCAGGTCTTTCTCTTTCAGGCGGATCAGAGCTCGCAGATCTGACATCTCCTCCTGAACCAAAACAGTTAAACCATAAACCATAGTATATAAAGACTTAATAAAATCATAGAGGGGGAATGTTTAAATTAATATTATAAGCACAAGTTGCAGAAATTTCATCATGACAGGTTTTACCATCACTAATAGATGATATAATTTGGATTTAATATCGCTGCCATGAATCACCAAAGTAAAAAAAAAAAAGAGTTGCTTGCAGTGAGCATCATGGGCTGCCTTTTTACAGACCACACAATAAATGTAAGATAATATGAATATGTAATTAATGTACTGATAGGTTAGTGTACACTTTCAAGAAGTGCAGTTCAGGTACAATGCAAGGCAAAGTACAACTGGAACCTTAAAAATACGCTAGCTCCAGGGGAGGTCGGGTGTTAAAGGGTTGGATATAATGAGGAAATATATGTTTGTCAATCCCGGTCTTAAAATCAATGCTCAGGATGAATTAAACTGATAATTAAGGGTCACTCAGTTCATGCCTTACTGGCCCTCACTGACCTCTAAGATCTTCCAGCAGTGTCTCTAACACTTCTCTGTATGTACACGCCAAATAATGTGCGCCAAACATTTTCTTGCATGTCTTTGCAGCAAACTTTGGGCTGATATTTTAATTTTTTTTTTTCTTCATTTTCTGGCAGAATTTCCACTTTTCCCATAAATCTAAACAAAGGCCATGAACGCAAAGCCCCTACCCTGACAGAAATGAGTTCGTAGAAGAGGGAAGCCTTCTCTTTCTTCACATCAGGAGGTTTGACGTTATCTTTAACCACATGTCCCCCTCGTGACCCAGCTGGGTGACCGGTTTCAGGGCTCAGTTTGCTCTCCACTCCTGGGCTTGGTTTCGGGAGGCAAATGGCTGCCCGGTCCCTCTTCAGACGCTCAATTTGTTGACGGAGAGCAGCCTCTCGATTCACCAGCTCAGGTGTCCTGTGGGGTTATAGGTAGTGAATGGCTAGCCATAAATCTGGTCCAGGAAATGTCCACATTTCAAATGCAAAACTACACTGAGTCATCTCTAATAGCTATTGAAAAATCTAGCCAATATCATGTTGATCTTTGGTGGAGGGAAAGAATGATATGTGCAATGTTTGCAAACTTTTAATCTTTCTATCTGTAATTTAAGTCCGTCAGTCTGATCTATAGTCATCAGCGAGACATAATTTCCTTTCTGCCCATTCCTATGATGTTGCTTGTTAGTGTAACAGTAATTTAAAGCATCACCTCTGCCCTGTGTAACTCCGTGTTTCCGTCTCCTCTGTGACCCCTGCTGTTGAGAAGGAGGTGGACAGCTCTTCAGTTCCCATGTTCCTGAGCTGAGATGATGGACTGTCGGGCTGCTGCCTGTCACCGACAGCCTCTGATGGGAGAACAAAACTGTGAGTCCGACAGTGTGTTTGTGTGTGTGTGTGTGTGTATCTGTGTGAATGACATGCATACCTATTATATATGCAAGTGTCTGAGTGCACTGGGTTGTAGGCAGTATTAAAAAAGTGGTATTCAAACACCTGCTGGGTCTGTCTGCAGAGGAATGCTTTGCTGCCTCTTGCTCTCATAAAGTGACAGTAGCTCGCTGTAGGCCTCCTCACACTCCTCACTGTCAATCACAACCACACAAGATGAGAAGAACCCGAATTAACGCTGTTAGAATGCTGACCCATGCACATCTATTATTTGGACACACGTCAAACAACATTGTAACACTGACAAAGAATATACATATACGTGCAGACAGGCCTTTGTAGTGGTGTGACAGGTGTGTTTTATGTGCGTACCAGTATTTGAGAGCCAACTGCAGGGCAGAGCAGTCGGACTCAAGTCTGTTTAGTGTGATAGTGATCTGCTCCGACTCTCCCTTCCTTCGCTCCAGAGCTGCAGTCAGACGTTCATTTCTAGCCTTCAGCCTCTCGATGTACCTGGGTTGATGGGAGGGAGGATGAGGGGTTTAAGAGCAAGTATTTTGTTTCACAAATCAGTTTAATTATACAAATAATAAAGCTGCTGTGGAGGAGGAAACACTTTTACTGTATTGGTTGAGTGAAGCCTCAGCCAGTCACTAGTTTCTGGCTATTTGGATATTCAGTGTAATTATTCCAGTCAAATAAGTGTCAAAGTTGAATAGGTCACTGCTCAAAATGTAAACAAAAAACATAAATAAAAAAAATAAATTACAATTATTTTTTCATGATATGAATCTTGGATGGTCACTAACTGGACTAAATAACTTACAGTTCCCATGCACTGTAATTACTTCTGACTTATTTACAAAGTGAAATACCAGACAAAGGTCAATAAATTTAAATCAAGTCTTCCTCCACAGTATGCCGGAGCTGATTTTTTCTCACTTTGAAACGTCCCAGGCTGCTCCTCAGACTCACCTGTTCAGTCGTTCTGTCTCGGACTCCAGGCTGATGGGGCTGGGACAAGGACTGCCAGAGTTAACAGAGCCCAGTGGAGAGCCGCCTCCCCCAGCAGACAGAGGTGTCGGACCTCTGGCTGTTCTTCTGTGGAGTAAAGGAGAACCAGGAAAGGGAGGAGAGGCCAAGTCTGGACTAAGAGGCCCAGCAGTGGGACGGTAGGAAGGAGAGCGACTGCCTGACCTCCAGGCCTTATGGAGACCAGCCAGCTGAAAGACAAGAGGAAAGGGTACTACATTTATTATTGTCTGAACACACAGAATCAACCACATTATTGTTTATTTCAAACATCGCTATGACTGAAAACTCCAAGCCAGAGGTGGGTCAAACTGAATTATATTATAAGATCTAGTCTTTGGCTTCATAAATTGTACTCATTGTCATCATCTTATTGGCATTTTTATATTTTGCCTTCAACCATTCATAAAAAATAACTGATGGAGGAATAACTCCCACCTTGTTCTTCTCCTCCTCCATCTGGCTGATTGTGTTTTGTGCTCTCTCCAGCTCCTCCTGGTGACTGTGAGAGGTGCTTCTGAGAGCAGAGTCATGTTTCTCCAGATCCACGGTGTCCCTCTGATACTGGTCCTTTGGCAGGGCTGATGGGCACGATATCCCAAACTCTTTTTCCATCTCCTCCAACATCTGCAACCAGTGAGCCAACATTACTAAAGGGGCTGATGGGAATCTAGAGAGAGCCTGTAACATTTTTCTGTTCAACTGAGACAGCAATGCCTAATCTCTTTATGACATTTTTGGACATTTTTTTTTTTTATCAGAGAAAAGCTAAAACTAAAAGATTGTGTAGATCAAGTTGGTTTCGAAATATCTGTCAGTAAATTTGACCTAACATTAGTCTTTTTGTCTAATGTGCAGAGGTAATAACAAAAATTCAAACGCGTCATTGAACCATGATGAACTTGCTGCTGCATTAACACCTCAGCTGCTTTAACCCAGCTCTCCTGCGCTGCTCTCAGATGCTCTTCGTGCTTGTCCTGGTCAGAAGCTGTGATGGGAGCGGCCCAGGTCCTTCTACAGCTGATGGAGTCCTCCACTGATGATAAAACCTCCTGCAGCTTTGTCCACACTACACCACTGCCCCCTAGAGGATGTAAAGTAGAGGTCCAGTCAATCATAGACGAAGTGAGAGACAGTTATGTATTTTATGTGCAGGAATAGCATCTTTCTTTTAATAGGAAAATATAAAAGTTGCTTTCACCATTCCAATCTCACTGTGTTTTTCCTCAAGATAACTCGCAGTATTTTACAGACTTAGACCGAATATTTAAAATAATGCATCAGCTGTTCTTTTGGACATTGTTTCTTGTCTTGCCTGCTGGGAGGAAAGATCACCTATATACAGTACAGCTGCACAGGATCAAAGGATTAGGTCTACTGAGCGAAGACAAAGTAACACAGTGCTGGTGCCAACCTCGGTCAATCAGTGCAGGTTTAGATGTGGCAGCAGAGACAACATGTCTCTCTGGGCTGCTTCTGACCAGTCTGTGAGACAAAAGGTCAGGAACCAAAGGCCTGCATGGTCCTGGTGGTCTCAGGTCCCCTGGTTCACTGCAGAGGAAGAGTAGAGAACATTTCTGCCATTAATACCTCTGTGATCATGTGGAGACATGCTATAAATTATAGAAGAATATACAATAATCATGGTCCCACAAACATTTGAATTCAGAGTCAAGCCAAGCACATTATTTCAGACTTAATTTATGGACGTAATTAGTACTAAAGTTAAATACATCGCTGCTGTTACATGTCTCATCACACACGTCATTAATGTTACCTCGGTGCCTTTAATGACCCCATCTTCTTGTTCAGTTCAGCGATGATGCTGAGTAGTGTGCCCACCTCCGCCTCACACTGAGCCAATTCTGCTGGTGAAGGCTCGAGGTTTGCTGTGGAGTCGGAGCCCTCAGGGTCAAAGGTCATATGGTCAATCACCTCCCTGTCACACCCTGACCCAGTATCCAGGCTGTCACATCTGACCAGGCTGGAATCCTGCAGAAGCATGGGGAGGTGTGTGGATAATTTAGATTGTAAGGCAATAAAATCATCATCACTTTTTTGCACAGTTCTACTCATACTGCCAAATACATACGGAATAATCATTCACTGACGAGTGGCTCATGTTTAATAATCCCTCAGTATGTATCCACATTAAAAATCTGTTATGGTCTTGATCCAGACATTGTTGCTGTATTGTTTAGTCGCTATTGTTTTGAGCAGCGGAAAAGGAGGAAGTTAAAACATCCTGAGATCCAACTTCCTGCTTAGCAAATATTTTTGGACCAGACCATCTTTTGTTTTGCACAAAGACGGTAGGTTAAATGCCTAAAAACCATGAAATTAGAACAAAATATCTCTATTTTATACTGCCATAAACTATGTATAATGCCTAGAAATATTCCAAAATGGCAATTGAGTATCTCAACTTCACTTGAGTATTTGAACGTAGGGAGGATAATATCAGTAAAATCATTCATCAAAAATTCTGATACTTATTGACACTGGTCAGAAAATGTACAACTTTGATACAAAGTGCTATAATTCTGTAAACAGTAGTCATTATTTTGTAGATTATGTCGGACAGTCTGCATCTGTATAAGGCATTTCACATTGTGATACATTTGATCTTCATTACAATCTCAGACTTTGTCAAGTATACCAGTGCTCCAGGTCATGCAACACCCCTTATGTTAAGTGACATATTTTCAAGGTAAACACAGGGACTCTTCATCACAACTTACCTCCATACTTCTTGATCTTGATGCCTGCAGCAGTGATTGAGTTCCTGATGTGATGTTCACTGCCTACAATTAAACATTTGATAAAATGAGGAGGTGTTTTCTTCTATTCTGCTAGTTTGATCTGCTGTAATTATATTTTCCAATAGTCAGTCAGTCGCTGCGACAGTCTGCTTTCTGCATGTCTGCCTGTTTACTGGGATGAATGAAGTAAGTGGAAAACACTTAGACAGTCATCCCCACCCATTCCGTCACGTTGTGTCCTTTCCTGTTTTGTCCACAGTTAACTTCCATGCTTTTTTAGTAGACAATGACCAGTGTGTGAACTCTGCATATCCAGAGCTGCTCTCAAAACGCCTCACTACGTTTTGCGTTTTCCTGCTGACAAATAAACAGACGCGAGTGAGAACATAAACACAAATGTGGTAGTAATAAGAGAAGATGAAACGGAAGTTTACTAACCCCATAAACTTCATTACCCACATTGCCATTCGACTTCGCAGTTCCGGATTGAATCACTTCCGGATAGGAAGCTGTACGTTCAAAACAGATGTAAGCTAATCGTTGATATATTTTTGCACTTCCAATGAGTTTTACCTTAATTAAATCCTAGACGCGTCTTACTTGTTATTCACGTAAGTCAGATTCTTCATTTAAACCCAACGCACCTCATGCTTAACAATTTGTCTGATTTAGCGTAATTTACAGTAAAGCTAACCAATGCTAACAGCTAAGACGCTACTGCTCTGTCACCAAACATCACCTTGCTCCACCAGCTTTTTCTGCACAAAATGTTTGTTACTCCTTTGGGCTGACTGTCAGGCTTTCCAGACGCAGTTTTCAACCAATACTACATTCTACAAAGTTTGAGTTTTGTTTCTTCAGTTTCCTACACACTCCACTGTGTGCTCAGACAAACAGAATCGCACCTGTATTGTGTAGCACTGCTTTTATGTTTTGTGAACTGGGATGTTTTTGAAAGTATGATTATTAGATTGGAGCAGACTGGGTGGGCTGGGGTAATTCGTGCAGCTTTCTTACGCTCATTGCAGGATAAGGACAAGTAGTGTGATTCAATTAAAAAAAAAAAAAAAAAAACTCTTTAGATATTTTTAGTATTAAAAAACAGTTGAATTGTAATTTTAACTGTTGTTGATCATTTTTGAGAGGTAGGTAGAAAGACCACTTGGTGCCAGCCAATGTTAAATGTTAATGTTAATGTAAAGGATATTCTGTCTAAAAAGTTTCTCTGCATGGCCAAACTAACACTTCATCTCCACATCCTTAGTAACCTCTGTATCCATGGAGACACCAGAGCCTGGTCCAGCAGACGGCGAGGAGCGTCTGGTGGAGCTGCGACCACGGACACGCTCCAACCCTGAAGGTGCTGAGGACCGTCGTAGCAGCACGGGCAGCCTGGGAGGCAGCAGTAACCCAAACATATCTCAGCCTGCTGTGGGCAGTCGTGTGGAGGGGGAGGGCGAAGCTTCAACCAGCGACAGTCCTCCGAGTTCCACCACCACCACTGTCTCAACAGCTGCTGCTCAGACTGTAGTTCCAGCTGCAACTGCAGTGGCGGCTGCAGCCAGTGCTTCAGTGCCTCTATCTACTGCAGCTGCTGCAGCCAAAGAGAGGCCAAAGCCTACGCAGCAGCAGCCCCCACTGGCAACCTCTGTCCCTCCACCAGCAGAGTACCAGCTCCGAGTTCCCCGTGTCAACTGCCCAGAGAAAGTGGTAGGCCTACATTACAGTTCTGATTTATGAGCTTCCACATTAAAATCAAAGCTTCTTTTCAGCATAAGGTTTCTTTTATCTGATGTTGTCTTCATTGTTACAGATTATCTGCTTAGACCTTTCCGAAGAGATGTCTTTGCCAAAGTTAGAATCTTTTAATGGGTAAGCTACAGTAAAGTGAATCAATATTTCCCAGTCGTAGTGTTTCATGTTTGTCACCTCTGCCTGATTTGATTATCTTTCTATTTAGGTCTAAAACAAATGCCCTGAACATTTCTCAGAAGATGATTGAGATGTTTGTCAGAACTAAACACAAGATTGACAAACGGCATGAGTTTGCCCTGGTTGTAGTCAATGATGATGCCCTATGGGTGAGTCTGGTAGTTTTTATATTATTATATTACATAGAGTGCCTACGTGGTGTATCGATGCAACATGTCTCTTTTTTATACTATCTTCTCTTTCCTCTTCTTATGTATATGTGTATGTCTGTCAGCTGTCGGGCTTCACGTCTGACCCCCGGGAGCTGTGCAGCTGTCTGTATGATCTGGAGACCAACGTGTGCGAGTCCTTCAGTATCCTTTCATTTAAAACAAATTCTAAAACAATGAAAATAAGTTTCATGCCATGAAGCGATACATAGGATATTAAAGGAATTCTAGTTCTTAAATTGTAGCCTTAACTTTCTTTTGTAGACCTGGAGGATCTTCTTAATGTAATGTAAGTAGATTCTGACTACAATCCTTTATGGTCTCATAAAACACATGAAAAGTTACTTAGCTGAGGGTCATCCCATCGTCTCTTGTCTTCCTAGTCGCCAGAAGATTGAGCTACCGTTGATGGAGAACGTTCAGACCATCCCACCTCCTTATGTGGTGCGGACCGTGCTCATCTACAGCCGACATGCAGGACAGCTTCAGTTCAACCCTTCTGAGGCTGTTAGTGTAAGTACAACACTGCTGCGATATCCCCTTTTCCTTTCTGTCCTTCATACCCAGCATCAGTGCTATATACCATTAGTCTTTTCAATATGCAGTATCTTCCAGTATCTTGTTGGCTGCTTTGAGCTAACCTTAATTTGAAGTGAAAGTCTTGCTTGTTCTTGTGTCCTGCTGCAGAAAATGCTACAGTCTCCATATTTTTTCTTTGATGTGGTCTACCTACACAACGGGGTGGAGGAGCAGGGGGATGAGACGAGCTGGAGGGTGAGTGGAGCAGCTGATGAAGTGGGTTTTGGTTGCATACAGTAGTTATATGACAAAATGCTGTGTTAGATTACTCAAGCAGTACTATAACTCCTCAGTTGCACATCTGTTCTCAGTACTAATTTGTGACTTGCCTGTTGGAGATATCTTCCTGCACTGTATTTAAGTGCTTCTGTCCATCCAGCATGAAGAGTGGAGTTAAAGCTTTTTTTAAATTAATTTTTTTTTTTTTACATGAAAATATCCCTTGGTGCTTCATTGTAACTATCAATGCTTCTCTGACACTCGCTGAATTTAAATTTTCTGTGTCTGTGCTAGGACAACTATACCTCTTTCTGCAACCTGGACTCAAAGGGCGTTTGCTATCGCTTCGAGGTTTCCCTGAGTGGACCCGCTCTCGAGCTGCACAACTGCATGGCCAAACTTCTGGCTCACCCTTTACAGAGACCTTTCCAGAGTCATGCTTCTTACAGCCTGCTGGAGGGGGAGGACCCCCAGGACATTGAGGCAACAGTCTAAACTTTGACGCACTCACAAAGCATTGCTTCTCTGTGAAATTTACACACTGTAGTTTGTCAGATAGGGGGCTGGGGTTTTTTCCAAGTACACTTTATTACTTAAGAGTTTTTTCCATTTCCTGCTAGAGAGCAATAATTCCTAAAAATGTTTAGGAAAACTAGGCGTAGTTATAAAGGTATTTCTGCAGGTTTCTATTAACACTATCATTGTGTTTCAGTAAAACAATGAATGAGTCATTCACTGTTCTAAACTGCGGAAGTAATACAATGATCCAGTTGTGAGCAGTAAGTCTTAAAGGAGGAAATCAAACAAACTACAGTACACATGACAGTTTTCCATAGCAGGCCTTTTGGGACATTCAAGTAATGAACTGTAATATGATGTACTGTATCATGGAAGTTACAACTTCTGTAATGTTTCTTTCCCCTTTGGTAATTTCCACCTTTGTTGCCTATTTTAATGTATTTTTTTATTTTATAAGGGGTTGTTTTTAATCATTTGTTCATTTGTCACTCTTGTATGTTACACAGACAATGGAAGAATGTACAGTAATATAGATGTGGCCTCATTTGATTTAAAACTTTTCTTGACAATGATCTCTGTGGCGTTGAAGCTTTGATTGTGAAAAAGGCCCTTGTACGGCCGGTCTAGCTGCACTTGAAACGCATTGTATAGATAAGCTTTTCGAAGCTGTTTCTGGGTATTAAAAAGATATGTTTAATCATATTTGTCATTGTTCATATATGTACTGAATTTTGTGCTTTCTACTGTTTTGTCAGGAGATGGCAGCAGATTCCCTCGTGAGATGAAGCCAACTCTGAATTCAAAGGCTTTGTCAAAGTGCTACTGAGGTCTGTGAGAGTAGGGGGCAGTTTCATATATATGTATAAACTATATTTAATATTCTAAATTTTGATCAGACTTTGATCAGTTTTGAACTGATCTTGCTAAACTTTTTTAAGTTTAAGTGTAAGTGTTCGTAATCACTGTCACTCAAATTTCTAAATCTACAGGCCTGTATGACAGCACGATTAAGCACCTACTGTGGAAAATCTTATCTCTTATCCACCTACAGCATGAATATTACTTCAATGTTAGATATATATTTTCCTGTCACCCTAAAGGTGTCTGGACTTGAGAGGTTTTTTTATCTTAGTCTGCAACCATTAGGTTTCCTGTTTTTGTTCAGAAATTGATCCAGCGTCTGTCCTGACTCCTGACAGAGTGACAGAAGATGAATGACTAACATACCTTCATAAAGTAGTTTTTTTCCGGAGAGGACAGGTTGTCAGGGGGACAATGAGGAGCAGGAAAACCCTGGGCTCAGAGGACCTTTCCCCTTTCACACCCTTCCCCAGCAGAGTTGACTGTTCCTCACGTCATCACCGCAGATAACAGCGTGCGGGGGGGGGGGGGGCAGTCCGTCTGTACTGCAAGGAGGATTTGTTATTCCCTCATCCCTGAAGAATGACAGGTCCCTATTGTTTTCATTCTTTCACTCCTCCACCGCCATGACTCCTTTCCGTGCTTGTTGAAACAGGATATGGTGGAATTTTTTTTTTTTTTCGGGTTGTTTTTTTTTTTCAGCTTTTACTCCTTATATGGTTTACATTGTTCATCCCCCACCAGGGAAATATGATCATTCTGTGTCAATCTGTTGGAACTATATTTAAACGTGGCACCGATGGGTGATCTTTCCTGGTTTCCTGTATGTCATGTGCAGACAGTATTGGAAAATAACTAGGGACATCCAGTACTGTACTTAACAATTTTGCGATACTTGTACTTTACTTTAGTATTTACATTACTTTTGACGCTACTTTATACTTCTATTCCATCACATTTCATAGGTCAATATTGTACTTTTTATTCCACTGTACTTACCTGGCAGTTATGGTAACTTTTCAGATTTTACTTTTAAAATATGATTATAAATAATTTATTTTCACTGTATGCCCAACACCCCGAGACCAACCAGTACTCTCACTTATAATGTGAGCACATTATAAACTAAAATTAAGTCTGAAAACTAGATTTTGACACAATGCCAATTCACAAGCCATAAAGATAAGATAATTATATTAGGTGAAGGTAATAGGCTTTTTTAAATGTGAAATTCCCTCTTTTTGTTACTTTGCCTCTTCAACAGCTCAGCATGAATACACTACCTGTGGAAACACAAAGGACTATCCCTCAAGAAGATATCCAGTTAATTTGACTAACTCAGATTACTCATATCGGTTTTATATAAAGTTTTGAATACATTTTCACACAGAACGTGGACTGTAGATTTTTGTTGCCCATCACTTACATTGGGAGCACATTAGGGAGGGATCTCTTAATGGCCAATATGAACATGAGAAATAATAACAGCAAAACTTGTTTGAGTGTACATATAGGCACCTGACAAGACAGACTTGAAAAAATGTGACTGTCTCCTTTAATCTGCTCTTATGTGGACTTTATGGGAACGACTAAGAAGAGTACTCATGAGTCAGACCGTGACCTAACATTCTTTTAGTATTGAGCCAAGGACCCATACTCAAAACAAGACTTAGTATCAGTATTATTGGTACTTTGGTACCTAGTGTATATTGGTACCTAGTGCACATATGCTGAAAATTGACTATTCTGAAGTAGACATTTTTGACTTCTGATTCTGGCTTTTTCAATGAGAGAGAGAGGGAGTAATTATAATTATAATTGTTATTATAATTTTGATTTTTAATTTGGTTATCAAACTTTTTTTGTGGAAAAACCATACCAGAAAAAAAATTACTGTTCCAAGCAGAGTATTTTTATATGTCTAAAAAACATGACCGGAGGGCATCTTTAAACTTTATTTTAATCTTCCCATGACGGGAATAATTTTTCATTCCAAACAGTTGGAAAATTTTTTAGAGATTTGGGCTGTGCTGCAGCATGAGGCTGTAACTGTGACAGAGGTCGATGAGGGAGAACAGGGGAGGGAGGGGTAAGGGAGGGGAGGGGAGGCGAGGTGAGGGCTGGGCCAGGATGGACCGGAAGTGTGCCTCCAGCAGCATTTATAAACATGGCCCCTTTACACACCTAAGGGTCATTGTTTACATCCATCCTTACGTGCCATTCCTACACCCTGACAGTGTAGCAGAGCTGCAGCAGACAGAGAAATAAACATCTCACTATTAAGCTTCCTCCTTTTTCTGCCTGTCGGTGTTCATCTTGAAGACTCAGCACCTGTTCTGCAGGGAAGATCGCATCAGAGGGGGAAACTTTGTGGATTTTTGCAACCAAATAATTCTTGTTTAGATCTTCCAAAAACCAGCTGCCACCATTTCACCTCCAACAAGCATGTACAGCTCCAGCTATTCCCGGGCCAAGTTTGGCCTGGAGGCAAGGGAGCCCCTGCACAAGTCAAAGGGAAAGAGCTGTGGTTACTACATGAGGATCGTCTTCTTCTTTTCCTCTCTGATCCAGTCTCTCATCATCGTCAGTCTGGTGCTCTTCCTCATCTATGGACAGCCAGAGAAATCTGCAGAGGAGAAGAGGGTAGAGGTCAGTGGTTTCTTCTTGCTCAGAAAATCTGTAAAGACAAGATCCCCCTGTAAAATAATTGTAGTTGAGTTTGTTAGACATTAGAGGCCCCTCACTTGACACAGAAAAATCTTAAAATGACATTGACTTCTAAGTGAAGTAACAATAATCAAAACATAATTTGTAGAGGAACAGATCTTTAAGAGACTGAATTAAGCTTCAAAAATGAGATGGACTTATATGCAGCAGCTTTTGATCAAGTTCATCATCACTAGTTTGTTGATTGTCTGACACGATATGTTTTTTTTTATTGCCATATTACCATTTCATTTCACAGCATTATGTCAACGTGTTCAGAGCTATAAAATACAGTCACAGTGATGAGTTATCTGAATGTTATTCTGAAGGATCTGGAGCTGAGTTTCAACAGGCTGAGTGAGAACAACATCCAGCTGAGGAAGGAGAAAGGCGAGCTGGGAGCTCAGCTGGAAGCTCGCACAGCTGAGAAGGCTGCTCTGGAGAAAGAGATGGAGAAGCTGAAGACCGATGCCAACAGCACAGAATATCAGCTAAAAATGAAATTGGTAAGTAGATGATTAATATGGAAAAGACATCAAAAGATAAGGAAAGTGAACAGCGTGTTTCTGCTAAGACGTACTGAGAAGCAGGTCGTTTTGTAAAGCTGTCAAGTAGTTTTTAACAGCTTTTAATCAGCTGAGAAATGTTTCTGCAAGAGCAAATCAAGGTTAAAAGGTAATGTTTTCATAATGTGCAAACTATTCAACATGACTATTTCCTTATTTCCTTAGGCATTGTTGTACTTTTCCTTGGTAATGAAATATAAGCCACAAACCATGAATCACCCTGTGATCTTTTTTCATTTACAGTCAAACTGTGAGAGAATGAGTGCAACAACACTGAGCATGATGCGTCGTCCTACCCCTCCCATCCAGGCCCCTCCTTTGCTCACTACCAGCAGTATGTTCTCCAATACCATACTTTTTGGTAGATTTAGTGTGATGCTCTAATACTCTGCTCTTTAAACACTGTGATAGATTACTCCAACAGTGATTAATGCATGTGTAAATTCAAATTAAAGTAGATGTGCTTAAGAAAAGAATCTGTTCTGCTTTCTAATAAGAGTTTATAAGTTGTTATTAATGGTTGACAAATTATATACTAATGCTTTATAAATCAGTTATATGACATTAATAAACCTTTGGGTCACAGGTTTCTGAATAATCTCTCTGGCTTTTATTTAACAGATGGTTTAGTTGATAGTCTGTTAACCTTTATTAATGACTTATTAAACTATATAAAACAATTATAACTACAGACTTGTTAGAAAGCGAGAAACTAACATATTGCTCACAATCTGGCAACCCTAAAGTTATTCTTATTAATCTCTAATAACTGATCTATAAGGCATTACAAAATTATTTCTTAACAATTAATAATGCCATTAGTACTTTTGAACCCTCTGTAAAGGGTGACTTATTAGAAAGTGGTAGCGGAAAATTAATAAAAGTATATGTGTCAATCTAACTGAAATCTGAACTCTCCAGGTGAATTAAAAACAATGCAGAGCCTCAACGCTCAGCAGAAAGCTATGATAAATCTCATTGAGGCAAACTTCACCCAGATGGTTCAGTACCTGAGCCAGGAGAGAGACAATGCCCTCAAAGACCGAGACACACACCACCAGGATGCCATCACCCTGCGCAGGGAGAACACAATGCAGAAAGAGCAGCTCACCAGCTACACCAGGTACAGCTCCGTCTGTCTGTCTGCTCACTGTCTGTTACTGAAAATATCAACATTAATTCAAGTTTTTGTTTCATTTTTTTTTTTTTTTTTTTTTTTTTTTTTTTTTTTTTTTTGCCAGGAAGTGCAAAGAAGACTTTGCCCAGTCTTTGAACGGGATCACAGCGGTGACCAGGGATTTCCTGAACCGTATCAACAACCTGTTCCCTCACCAGCTGACCTTTCACCTCACCTGTGACAGCCAGCAGGAACAAATGGAAAAGATTAGAAACAGCTGCACAAACCTGTCCAGAGACGTGGAGAATAAGTTCCAGTTGTATCTCGACAACGTTGGCAACAAGGTGAGTGCGTGTCTTGTGATATAAATAGGTGTGTGACTCACTCTTTGTTAATAACTCATAAAAATGTTAAACATAATATTTGTGAGAGGTCACAAGACAAAAAGGTTGGGAAGCAGTGGCTTAGTCTTTACAATACATTATAAGCTCTAAATATGGTTTTAGGTAAAACTGTCGGATAAATGGAGCAGAGTTTAAATATTTTTCTCTAAAATGTAGTTGAGTAGAAATATAAAGTGGCATAAAATGGTGACACTCAAATAAAGTACCTTAGTAGCTGTATTTTACAGTACTTGTGTAAATGCGGCTACCACACCTATTTAGATGGGTTTTTAATATTCAGACTTAATACTTCTTTCTAGCTAACCCTCCTTTAAGTTTTCCTTTTCTCCTTGAAGTTGATGGAATATTCCAAAGGTTTGGAACAAATTGAATGGGAAACCAGTTTCTCAAGGGAGGAAGTCTATCCGCTGCATCATTCGTGATAAATCTAGCTAAAGAGACAGACATCCTCTGAGGCGAACTCAGGGTCAAAGCAGAGGTAAAGTCTGTGGCTCTGCTGATACAGCAGCACTGTGCAGGACAACAAAAACACATGCCCTCAGCAAGTACCTTTTTTACTGCTTAAAGCAATATTTCATTTGGATACACACTCACAAAAGGGTCAAGAATCATTATTTGCTTTCCTGCCTGAATGTGTCTTCACTGTGGCTGTCCACACTTACTGTCACATTTAATCATACATGAACAGAAATAAGTCATATATCATGCTGCTGCTGATTTTTTTTCTGGATTTATCATTTAATCGTCAATAATAAAGGTCAATAATGAAATATCAAATTTTCATTGTCATCATTTTTTCTAACGAATGATCCAAAACCACTAATTTTACAGAGACATACATTTTATATGCAGATATAAAACACAGAAAAACAGCAAATCCCCATCTTGGAGAAGCTGGAACCAGAGGATATATAGCATTTTTTTTTCTTGAACAGAAAAAGACATCTGTTCAAAATGAGGATTTGTGGATGGGAATTTTACTGCCTTACAGATCACCATAGATATACACCATGTTATTGAGCCAGAAACCCCGAGAGCTACTGTACCACCATGTCACCTGAGGAGCATAGTTACTGAGGCATTTATAGATGAGTTTAATATTAGGAAATTTTAGGGAAATTATCAAATCCTAATATATTAAGTTCCTTACTGCATTGGTGAAATTTTACTGTCTGTATTTTAATTCTATGATATTGACTCGTCTTAAGATGCTGATGTGATCAAGAAGTAACACAATAACTTAAATGTGAAAAGATCATGAAAGTCATAAAACGATTTGTAGGCAGAACATGGTAAACAGTCTCAAACGACTCTAAATGTATCGATGGTGAGTTTGCTTTTGCAACCTTTCTCTCCATTTTAACATGTTTCTCAAACATTTTAGTTGGGAATCGACAGTAACTTAAAGCCAAGACATTTTACTTCTGAAACCTGTTCTGACTTGAGCCGAGCCTTGGAAGAAAAGCAAAGTGACACAAGTTTTTAAACAACGCATTAAAACTTACAAAACCTCTTGATTATGTGACATTCCACTGCTTCAGCTCCATATTCAGTAAAACAACATCAGCTTCCATCAGTGGCCGAGGCTGCTGACAGTTGATATAGAGCAACATTGGTCCCTCGGGGAGACGTTCAGTGTAAATTCATTCTTACATTAGCTGTACAGCATGTACTCCAGCACGACACTGAGGAAACTGAACATTAACAAACACTCACATTGTCAACTTACGGATAGAAATAGATACAAGGTAAACAAAAACAGGTACAATTATGCAAAGGCACCATCTGGAAACACATTTGGTTCAGCAGAACACGACTCATTCTTCAACCACAGGCCATTATCTCGCTCTTTTTGCATACAGGCCTGCCCCTTTCAAGTGTCTATGAAAGCAAGTTTTAATCATTAAAAGGGAATATATGGCAAATCAGATTAGACGTTTATCACACTTATTAAAAAATATTTATGTATTTTCTTCCTCCAGGTGGCAGAGATCCAAGCCATGTCCAGTCGTCTAGAGGTGCAGAACTCACACCTGACGTCCGACCTGCAGCAGTGTGAACAAAATCGCAGTGAAACGGTCGCTGAGGCCGCCAGGCAGCTCCAGCTCAAGCAAAAGACTCATGATGACCAGGTAGATAACATTTGAGTAAGGATGTACAGTATGTGCATTTGTACATGTGTGGCTGGCAAGTGGGAACACATCCATGGAACAAGCTAATTTACTTGGTTATAAAACTATGACTGGCAACTGGCATTGTAAAATGTACTGTATATGATAACCTACTCCTGTTTTATCTGTTTTAACAAGAGCCTTAATTATACAGTAGCATATAAGGGACGACATTGTTTTCCACTTAAAATAACACATGAATATTTTGTCCAGGTGGAAAAATTACTGATGGAGCAGAACCGGTTGAGAGAACAGAAGAAGCTGCAGGACGACAGTTTGGCCCTGAGAGAGAGAGAACTTAAGATCCTCCAGCAGATGCTCCCTGCTCAGCCTAATTTTAAGGTAAAATAAACACAGAGAATAGAGTCCCAGTCATTTGCTCTGCAGACATATGAAAGGGAATGAGGGAAAGGAGATGCCCACAAATGCTTTCAAACCTTTGTTCGCTTGAGACATTTTTGTGCTCATGTAAAGCATTAATTAAAGAGTTGGTTAAAATTTCCACTTGTATAATCTTAAGGTCATTATGTCCTCAAAGTAATATCTTGTGTTTGACTTTTTGAGGGTGCCCTTTAAATAAGATTTACTCCACTGATTATATGGACGTCAGTGCAGAGGTAAGGTGATGTGTGTGGACTTAGCAGAAAAGAGGAATCTGAGGGCTGCAGGAGCAGGAAGAATGGACAGGCAAGATAACAAAAGGAAACCATTTTTTAAGGAGTCATAGGTTCACAAAACACCCCACTTCAAACTCCCCAGATACGTAGTGTACGATGTAGGTGTCCAAGCACTGTCACAAAAAGCTGTACAAATATGGTCACTGTTTGAGGTGTTAAATAATACTGAAATGATCTTGTTTTGCAGTCTGGTGTTCCTAAAGCTTCCGGCCTCCAGGCCGCCCCACAGCAGGGCAGAGGGACTGTGGCTAACTGGCCTTTTGTTGGAGCACAGGGCATCAGCAAAACTCTGAAGGTAAACTTTAAATAGAGACCCACCTGATCACTATTGAGCAGGAGATTTAATTTACAAATGATTACTTAGCAGAGAATACTCAAACATCCATCTGTTATTTGGTGATCTTCATGATGAAACTTTGCTGAAACAAGACAGAGTGTGCAGCCATGCCAGCAGCTCTCTACCGCAGTGTTTTGTGCTAAAATGCTCATGTCATTATACTAACATGCCAATGTTAGGCAGGTATGACAGTGACCATATTCACCATCTTAGTTTAGCATTTTAACATGCTAACATTTGCCAATTAGCGCAACACAAAGTACAGCTGAGGCTGATGGGTGCGTCATTAGGGGTTTTGTTGTGCACCGTTGGGCAAATGAAAATATTGTAACTATTTGAAATTTAATCTGCAAACTGCATCAACTTTAATCCAGAACTCAAATGTTAAAACATTGCTATATCACCTCATTGCTGCCATTAATTATAATTGTTAATGTTTTGTCTTTCAGGTGAGATGAAATGAAGCAGCAGAGTAAGAACTGGTGGCACTAGTGGTGCACCACAGTGATCGACATTGGCCTTTAAAGACTTTTTAAAAGACATGTATATATTTCTGATGCAACACATTTCAAACTCAACCTGTAAATACTTGTGATTGCATATTAATGATATAGGTATTGTTGTTGGTTTGTGCATGCTTTGTTTAGCTCTACTTGGCACTGAAGATTCATTTGCGTTTTACTCACTTTGAGTTTGAGTTTAAATATTTACTGTGAAAAGCTTTTGTATCTTTATACTCAGGTAAATGTAAAAATTTCCATGACACTGGTGTAAATATTTTCTCTTGTGTGTCACTCATGGTAGTTTGTGTTATTAAGAAAACCAACATGGGAAAATCTTTTTATTACCATGCAATTAAAATTAAATGAACCAAAAAAAGAAACCCAGTGCCGGTCTCTTGTGTCTTCCTGGCATTAAATATACAACAAAGACTCAGACAGGAGTTTGGGCAGCAGCTGCTAACGTGTCTGCTATAAACAGAATACTCTTAAAATAGCTGCATTTATGTTTCCTAGTGATTCACACGTTTGAATTTCTACCATGGCCCGGATGACAATACACACATCCACCAAGTCATAAACACATCATCACAGCCATAAGCAATCTTAAACAATGTACAGTATATCAAAAATAAGAAGCAGGAAATTTGGTATGAATTAGAAATTGAAATTGTTTAGTTTTTATGACTAACGCAACAAAGAATAGTTTCGATTGTGCGCTTATTAATTGCCACTTTTATGGAGCATTTTACAAGCCCAGGAGCTGTTATATGAACTGCTCTCAAGCTTTACTACTTCCTTTTCCTTTTTAAGCACAAGGCGATGAGCAAATACAGTACTGTAGCTGCAGACGGCTGGTGTTTAAATGTGTTCACCTTGTATCCATAAAATTAACTCCTTTTTTTGTGATAATAGTGTATTCTGTATGAAGACAGAAATGAAAATGTAAAATAAAATTTAAAAAAATGCTGTAATGATTGCAGAAGATAGTATCATTACAGCTTCTTATTTGTATATAATTTACTTTATAAAGCGATATTGAAAGTGCCACTTACATCATTAAAGTGTGAATTTATGTTACCTGCTTTATAATTTACTGTAGTACAATCATTCATGTAAAATATGACATATAAAAAGCCATTCAGTTGAAATTAGCTTACATCGATGTTTTATGTCAATAATACTTTAATTATCACTTATCACTGCTTTTTATTTATAAGTCAAAATATTTAAAAAAAAATGCCTGTCACCTACTCACTCATTTCATTTTTATTCCTACACTGGGTGTTTCAACTTCTTTATTTTTTCATACTGTATCTGAATCATAAATTATCTTCACCATAAATTTAACTGTTTAAATTTGAAAGTATAATTTATTACACTGTGCCAAAAACTAGATTACTCTGGATTTTGCAGATACATCAAATATTCATTTTTTAATTTGCCACCGTCATCTGAAGAAAAACAGATAACTGTTCATGTTCATCATACATTTGCATTGTCTGAAATAATTAGCAAAAGTAATATTTCAGCTATTCTTTATTGATATGATCATAATCATGCATTTCTTACTCCTATCAAAGTTTATAATTCCTGAGAACACTCGACTTCACTTCCAATTTCACAATTATGACGAGCGTGAGCCGGACACAGAAAAATTACACTCTCTTTTAGACAAAACAAATATTTGAGATGCCTTCAATGTTGCATAAGAAAACACATAGGATAAACTCCCAGGCTGACTGTACTGATGGATGTGAGTGTTACAGGTGAGTCAGTCTGCCTCCTGTCCTCAGGAAATCCTTTGTTTAAAAAGTGTTTTTGGTCTCATGTACAGTATAGACCTGGACGCACGTACAAACACACACACACACACACACACACACACACACACACACACACACACACACACACACACACACACACACACACACCATGACATAAAGTCAAATGGGTACAGGGTGGAGTTGGCTCTACTGGATCTGGTTACATACACTCCACATCTCAGGAGAGCCATTAATCAAAAGCACAGGAAACTGACAAGACAGAAATCTAAAAGTCCCTAACATCAGTCAGCTCTGAACAAAACTGTGACATCAAATGAGTTGAGTCATGTTCCAAAATTAAGAGAAGAATGTAACACACGATAAGCATTGATCTGTGTTATATTTCAAAGTTCATTTATTTTATTAATTTAAATACGAATTGATTATTCTCATAATCAAATAATTAATATTGTCAGACTTAAAATTCTTAAAACATTTCTGTTCGCCACAGCCCTTTATTGAGTTACATTTGGCCCTTTTTTTTCCACATTCATCAAATAATATTTTACTCATGTTTAGTTTTTATTACATTTAAGCTTATTTTAGCTCCGCTAGCTGCATGGTTCTATGGGTGACAATGTTGGTCGGTCGGTCCACACTGAAATCTCAACAACTATTAAATGAAATTCCACATCTTGTACAGACATTCACGTTCTCCAGAGAATTAATCCTACTGACTTTGTAGATCAACTGGCTTTTCCTCAAGCTACCATCAAGTTGACATTTGTGGTTTTTGGTGAAACGTTTCAACAGTTATTGCATGCACTGCATCTGAAGTGCTTTTTTATTGAATTGTATATCCAACATATATTGGATTGGAGATTGCATTGAATATCTGGTCACATTTATACTCTTGTTTACTAATTATTTGATTAGATTGTTCCAGATTTGCTCATTTTATTAAATATTTCAATTAGGAAAAGCTCTTGCTGGCTCCTCTGTTTTGTATAACAATAGCTTAAAGCCATGCTAGTGGCTCTGTATGGCTGTCCTACACTACATGCTCACATGCTCACATAGACAATGCTAACTAATGCTGATGTTAAGCATGTATTTCATGTTTATCATGCTAACACTTGCTAATAAGGGGAGAATGTCATTAGTTTTGCAGGTATTCAGCTGCAAATAAAAAATATTGGACAGTTTAAAATTTTCACCTGGTGTTAGACAAAAAGGGAATCATAAAAGTTAACTAAATTCATGTTTGCGGGACTGTGAGTGTAAAATTTAATGTCAGTCCATCTGTTAGTTGTTGAGATATTTCACCATTCATAAAGCCAAGCTGCTAGCAAGCAACGCTATAAATAATAGGTATCAAAAAAGTATATTCTAGGTATCAATATGCAAAACTAGGATTGCATTGGGAGTTAGTGTCCAATGGATTTTCACAGTTGTGGTAAACATTGCTATATAAAGGACATTACACACGGGCACTAAAGATGAACCAGGACCCAAAATTTACTACCTCTAATTTGTATGACAGCAAGTACCACTTTTAGCTCGAACTCCCCCTGTGTTGTAATTAATCAGGGAGCACATGAAAGAGGACAAAAAGGCTGACAGAGCAGTGCGGAAAGAGGAAAGGTCAGGTAGCAGAGACGGAGCGGAGAGAGACGAATAGACAGGGAGATGGGCAGTTGTGCTGGTGTACACCAGGACAAATGCCGTCAGAGACTGGGAGGCAAGAAACCAACTGGGGAAGAAGGGTGAGGAGTTCAACAAGGAAACATAAATATTTGATCGAGGCAAGATTGACAGGCGAACAAAGGGGCACAGAGCGCATTGCCTCCAAAAGCATACCTTTCCCACAGAGCAGAGAGGGGGTCTGGGTCGCTCTGACTTTCTCTACACACTGTATGTCCATTATGCTTTATGGTGGGAGCTGGACATTCACAATGGAATAAATAACAACCAGCCACTGTGTAGCAAGAATTTAGACCTCACCAATTCAATCTTTGTGAGAATGGCTAATATTGCATTGTAAAATTGCAGCTTGCTGCACTGGCCCCAACTGCCCATAAAATAAATCTGATTTGTTACAAAAACACACATTATGCCATTAGTTTCACATCAAAGATCCAATGTGACATGTATTCATTATGTGTGAAACAACTGTCCAAATTTTAAATAGTAAAATAACAAATAACACATTTAGAGTAATACAATTTCTTATCAAAATTATACATGGATTTTGAGTTATCGCAACAAGTTTCAGGTGACACTGTGTGACCACATGTGCAAACACATCGACACACAGAGGGGTACGACTGAAATGAGACCTGCTCCCAAAAAAAAAAAAAATTGTTCATTGTCCTGCAGTACAAGTAAACATCAAAACTTTGAGTCCGTGACCTTGCAGAGGTCTGCAGCTGGCTTTATCTTAAATGATCTTGGTTGTTATGTTGCAACCCAAGAGCCCAATACCCACCTATCAAAGGGTTTCAATGTCTATTTTTAAATTACGACTCAAGACTTGCCAAACACTTGTCCAGCATATGGGGCCTCTGAGGCACCTGTCGTCACGCTTAAACTATTTCAGTTTGTTAAAAAGCATCAACAGAAAACAAGCATGTTTGTGTCTTGGGAGCAAAGGCATTCTGTAGCCAAGAACACGAATATTATTCTTTTTAATGTGGCTGTGCCTAGAAGCCTGGCGCAGTGCCGAGGCTGTGCCCTTTTGTCCCGCTTTCTTTACTGATACTCTGGGATGGAACAAGAGCGCAGCTTTCCTCTCCAAGCAGGCTATTATCACATGGATTGCATGTTTTCACTCCAACTCATCTGATTATTTTCCAATGCAGAAGTCTTTGAAGATGATATCCAGGATCTCCTCTGCCCCAACCCGTCCAGTGATCCGGCCCAGGCTGGTGAGAGCCAACCGGACACCCTCAGCTGCCAGAGCGAGGTCGGTGTCACGGTATCGCTGGTACTGAGCCAGGGCTGCCACACACTGCTGCAGGTGGGCCCTGTGGCGGGCCTGGGTCAGGGTGGGGGCACCAGACAGAGGGTCGCCACACCTAGAGAGGAAGTTAGAGAACAAAATGAACCACAGTAATAAAATTCTCATTATTTCATGCTTTATTTTGCATTTTTGGTTTAGAGAGGGTGAAAACCAGATCCCCCGCCTTGCTACAAAAAAAAAAAAAAAAAAAAAAAAAATCTGATTTTTGGTTTTATTTGTTTTATCTGAGGCAACTTAGAGGAGGATTTGAATATTTCTGACTTTGGTGACTGTTCAGTTTAAACCACTCTGAATACTAGATTTCACAAAACTTGGTCTTGGTATTAATCAGTTAAAACTGAAAACAATGAGCCTTAAAACCATGCGCACAAACATCTGAGGCAGATGCTGCATCCATATTAAAATATATTGATATAGATATGAAGTTTACGCACTATAAGTAATATATCATGCCACATTTTTTATCATATTAATGCCACAAATTTAACTGCAATAACTGACTTACCAAGCGCAGTTATTCACCATAGGACAAAGGCAATTTTAGGATGCATATAGAAACTTTTGGAAACTTGTCATAACCAATGTTTGGTTAATATCAATCTATTCTGTCATTCATTTTAGGTCAAATCTATCACCGGTCCTGCAGAAGATCAGTCTTTCTGATGGAACTTTTAAATGAAACATGTAGTCTCAGCCCAAGCACAGGAGAACATGATAAGTTATCGCTACTTACAGAGTTTTGACACTGCTGTGCAGCACTGTGAGGAAGTCCTGCAGTCCTTCATCAGTGTGACAGGAGATCAGACAGACAGGAGGAAGTTCAGACACCTGTCTCAACTCCCTGTCCAGCTTCTGTCTCTGATCATCTGGCAGCAGGTCAGTCTTATTCAGCACCAGGAGATACCTGTCCGCAGGAAATACTATCACAAGGAAAGAAAAAGAAATTCTAATGAGTGTAAATGATAATCACACAAAATCCTGAAGTCAAATTGTTAATGTCCCACAGCACAAAGTCACCACTGTGTTTTCTGCAGGGGTTTAAAACAGTTGTTAATCAATACCAATGACTAAACTACTCCTCCCTCAGGCACTGACATTTCTGTTTGATTATTCTTAATGACTTAAAACTCACTGTCCAGCCTATACTCTCTGACCTGGATGACCCTTCACCCAACCATTTAGTCCTAAAAGATGGAGCTGTGAGCACGTGACTGTGGCCACAACACACTGCAGTCCAGACCTAAAAAAATCAAACAACTGAGCAGTTTAACTTCAGGTCATGATAAAATACCACTTTCAAAAAGTCGCTGTTCAATGTGATTTTTTTTTTTTTTTTTACTTAAAAAGGCACAGAGACTTGTGTGTGGGTCAGTACAAGTACACCTATTTTTACTGTGTTTTATTGTGAAGTGTCTCTTTGGAAGTCTCAGCAAAAGTCCAGCCGCAGCAGAAGCAGAAGATGTCTAGTACTTTGTCAAGCACTTTAAAACATGGATTTTGAAAAGTGCTCTACAAATAAAGATCATCATCACTATTACCATTATACTGTAGATACGATACCTGTCTCAGGCTGCTCCTCGGTGGCCAGCACACTCCTCAGGTGTCCCTGAAGGAAGGCTGCAGCCTGCTGAGCATCAGTGGGGAGATGAGCACTGTCCACAACCACCAGGGTCAGATCTGCCTGCTCCACCCTGGAAAAGAGAAAGCAGTCACAGATGCACATTTAGACTTTCATTAATTAACTTCATGATACCAACAGTATTTTGTCAAGAATGTTGTACTTTTTTAACTAACACACTGTAAATCAGTCGGCTCCAATTTCAAGCCAGGAGATTGGAGCACTGAAATCATACTGATGATATGAGACTAGGTATTATTTTTAATTATGATTATCTTTATATATTAAACCTGTTGTCTTTTTCTCATCCAAAGGCTGCAAAATAGTTGAATGGCAGTTTCCTAAATGCATTTAACTGGGTAAAATAATATTTACTTCTACCTTTACATTACTTAATTTTTTAAATTACAGACCATATTCCATTTTTGGACCACAGAAAAGATGTCAGTGGCTGTCAAAGACCCCATTAAGATTTTTTAAATCAACTTGGGTAAATTTTCTACTTCATACCCTAGTGGTACTCTGAGAGAAGTGTCCTGAGAAACAGTGTTACTCTACAAAATAGGTTTTCCTGCCACTGCAGCAGAAACAGCGCAGTATGAATAATGGGTTTCATTCATTTATCTAAATGGTATTTGAAGTTAAATACTCTGTGCACTCCAGCACCTCCGTCCCACAGTGAAGTAGCGACAGCAGTGGCAGCAGCAACAGCAGCGGATGCTTGTACTTACCATGTCCTTCCTGTAGTGACCCAGGTCACAAGCCTCTGACCTGCTCCTTGCACAAAAAGTTCCCTATAGAACGCACACTGCCCACCCTTCCTACACTTAACTAAAACAAACAGTAAAAGAACTACAGAACATTTGCATTGAAAATGATATTTTTGTCATCGGATTTTCATCTGTTTTTTTATACATTGATAGTTTTCGTCTGATTCAGCCGTGACTCAAACAATTGTGAGATAGTCATACTTTTAAAGGTAAATGTTTAAAATATCCAACAGCATAAGTTCCCACTGAAAAGGTGGGGTCGCTCTACATCTCTCTATTCTCTGCCACTTAACAAATATCATTAGTACTGATTTCAGCGCAGTAATACCTCATTACTCTGTCTGATGCTTTTCTACCTGCCAAGGACACAAGCACTTGGGGAAATACTTGACATTTGTCTTTTTTGCCATGAAAAATATCAGTCTTAATATTTACTGAAGTCCTTACATTCTATAGCTTGAAGTCTTTCAGCCAAGTGTCAGCAACACACTGAATTGGTCACACACTAATATTTACTGTATTGCCATTTAAAAAAAAATGGAGCTGTTTTACTTTTGCAGCTGCTATATTTATGTAATTACAAAGACAGGAAACTTTCACCAATAAATCATTAATAATCAATGTGGGGTGTGTTGTTAGGCTCATTCTTCTTCTGTTCTTTGTAACTGCACAAATATGTATATCAAAGATGATTTAATAGTGTGTGTATGAGCCAGCACCATCTTCTGCTCGTGTGTTCGCCTGTTTGTATATGATAAAGTGCTGATGACAAGTCCTCCAAGTTGTGCTATTCTTCCCTGGTGTAAACAGTGGAAGTGGCTGTTAGTGAATGACCATAAATGTCTATTCTCCACATCTCACATTAACAACCTCTCAATAGTAGAAACTCTACAACGGGGAAAGGTGGCTCTTCATTACGCAACCTCCTGAGTGTGTTTGTCCCATGTATTTATAACTGTGGCTCAGCAATAATATAAACTCTGGCAGTCTAGACATTACAAAAATATAGCACGATGTACAGGGCAAAAGCAATGACTTATTTCTTCCTTTCTTTGTTTTCAATGACATGCTCCATTGGTCCCCAGGCTAATTTGTTCTGTGTTATATACATACAAACAGTCGCTGAGGCAGCAAAGCAGTACTATTAGCAGTACTATACTACTACTATTATGTACTAATGTCCCGTACTGAAGTCAAACATTCAAAAGACTAGCCTTCATTTCTTAGCATTGTTGGTCTCCTTCATCTAAATCTTGAAAGCAAACATTTTTTTTTATTTTTTTTATTTGCTTCTCCTCCTTACCTTTCCCGAGCTCGGCGGACCCCCTCTCTCTCCACCAGGTCCGAGCTGTCTCTGAGGCCGGCTGTGTCACTTAGGAGGACAGGGAAACCACCGATGTCCAATGCTGTCTCCACTACGTCCCTGGTGGTCCCAGCAATGGGAGACACAATGGCAGCAGGTCTCTGGCCTGGATTTAAAAAGGTTAAAGGATAGCTGATGCTGGAGATACTTTCTCATTGTCAACAAATCCCATGAGGAGGCCACAATCAGCCATCTATTAATCCATCTCTCCAAACTTTCTCACTTCACCTGCAGGTCTGTGGTTGTCACACCCAAGGCCATTCATTCCTACTAAAGACGTGAATCTTTAAAAAAAAAAAAAAACGGTTTAAAAATATACAACTTCATTTTGAAAAAGGATTAATAATTTCCAGCTGGACACTGTTATTTTTAGCCAATATAAGTAGAACAGGATTTGTTCGGCACTATTTTCTGCCACGGAATAATACACATTTTGTGCTCTAGTGGGTATTTCCGGCAGTAGGTCTGTGTGAGCTGAAAACAACAGTGTCCATGTTAATCATAATGAAGGCGTGTCTCCCAGTGCAACAGAGTGGCTCATTGAGGTGTTTTTAAAAGTTTGTGGGTAACAACGGAGCAATAAAGCTACATTTGACACTGGCACTAGGATCAATTCAGTGTTATCACATATATCACAAATTATCCATTAAGACCTGAACAAAATGACATAGAAGTATCTAATGGGTCCTGATGGTGAACAACTAACTAAGTTGTAGAATTAATTCATTTGTTTATGTTTATATTTATCAAATTGCAGTTTCATTGGTTTAAAGAATTTTTCAAAGCTGGTGTCAAGATCTCAAAACAGGAGGAAAAAAAATGATTTTTATACCCAAGACCTACTCAAGAAGACTGTGTACTTTACAAAAGGACAATGCCAGTTATTGCAACAAACAAGGAAGGATCTTTCTGTGATAACTGAATAACATCTGTCTAATATAGAAATCTCTATACGTACTAAAGTTCTGCACCATCTAAACTCAACAGGGGATATTTTCAGTCATCCTTTCTTTAGTCTCTATTCAGGACTTTCATGGGTTGACCGTCCCAACGAATCCCACGTCATGGAGCACTGACAGCTCATTATTACTCATCTGTGCCGTCAGGGAAGACCAATCGGAACAGGAAAGGATAACAGGATTTTATCTTAAATTTGATAAATACCCCTATTATTCTGATAGGAAGCTGTGAGGAGCCACAGCCAAGCTCCACTCCGGGGTAGTTTACAGAATGTGATTCTTAATGATTTCAGGATGCAATACCATAAACAAACGTAACCTTAAACCAAACAAAAGGGTTTCATTAGCTCATACCAAAACACTCTAGAAACATGAGTAGAAGTGATTTAGAATGAGAGGTGAAAATATTGAGTGTCTACTTATATATTTATATACAGATTATATGTAACTTTTTTACACTGACTCCATTGCAATCTGGAGCAAGGCAAGAATCAAAACATCTGTATCAGGAAAAGTCAAAATAGTAATTGTAATTCATGTGTCTGAGAGCAGGTTCAACTGTTCACAGATGGTGTTCTGTGTTCCTGCACTATGAGGAGATTATTACAATATGCACAACAAATGGGATAGATGTCTTTGACCTTGCTGTCTTTCACCTGAAAACGTTTGTCCTCCGATAGTAAAATTTAGGGAAAATACAACATGCTGGAAGCAGCAGTTTCAAAAACAATCTCACCACAACGTCCATTTCCAAGCTTAGAAGCTGGAAGAAAAATGGAAATTCTACAATTTCAGGACAACTGCTGCTGAAGAAGATTATTTGACTGAAAGCTCCAGAACAGCTACTAATGGACATTGACGAGAGGTTGTTTTGTTAACCCCTCTATCTACTTTAACAGCGTCTTATTTCAGACTGCTGCTTGTTTCTAGGTTTGTCTTCAGCGTCTTGTCAGCCACACACATTTCTACAGAGTATTTGCATTTAAATGAATCATACACATTTCAAAAACTGTTATGAGTCTGCGCTGTTAATGGTGTGACAGATGATGCCGTCTTCCACCCTCCAAACCATGGCTGACAGCGGTATGATTCAACAGTAAGGTCTGTATTTACAAGATAGTAAGTCATATTTTTAATATTAATCCCTTCACAGTGTGTGTGTGTGTGTGTGTGTGTGTGTGTGTGTGTGTGTGTGTGTGTGCTGGTTTTTCAGGTTCTCTTACAGAGTGTGTTCAGTAGGCTACTTTTCCCTGCGTTAGTAGCTCCTGCGATGACCACCTGAACTCCGCTGCGAAGCCGCTCACCCTTCCTCTCATCTTTTAGGTGTCGCTCCATCTCTGCCTGTAAATCGCACACCGATCTGTCGACTGAGGGGCGTGAGAGGGTGATAAAGACAGAGGAGGGAACAGGACATGACGAAGGTTTCGTGTTCAACTTCACTTTCATGGCCTTGTTAAAGGAATTTCTGCCCTTTGAAGGAAAAAGGCCTGTCCTCCGTCTGACACCCTTCGTCTGGACGAAAAAAAAATGGGTCATGGACTTGTCTCTTTACGCAGAGGACTAAAGCGGAAAAATGTTTTTGACAATTCAATACGTCATTTTACATAATTTTTCTTAAAGGAAATAAATCCAAATTCTTAATGATCCTGACAGTATAAAGCACATTACGCACATTAAATGCAGGATGACTTGAAAACTTAATAAAACTTCAGAATTGGAATTAAATATGTAATTTGCTATATCTTTGCAGGTGGCAATGGAAAGTATTTGTGCCAGAATTTCTATTTTTGGGCCTCAGTCTATTATTATTCGTTGGAAGCGTGAGCCAACATTCCATGCCACTAAAACAAACTAGTTCCCAGGCTTTATTGTGTCGAAACTTCAGAACATTTGAGGCTCTCTGAAGAGCCCTGCCAGTGCCAGACAGCAGGCGACAGACTCAGGGGGGATGTCCCTCGTACACGTACACACACACACACACGTACACACACACACACACACACACGTACACACGTACACACACACACACGTACACAGACACACACACACACACACACACACACACACACACACACACACTGTGAGCATGGGAAACCTGGGCATACAGACAACAGTTGGGCTGTGGACGGTGCTGCTGACAGCACTATTCCTGTGAGTGACATGGCAGGTTGCCTTTGAAGGTAAGACAAATGCCTCTACTGTCCCCCTGGCCTTCTATCCACACTTCCTACAGGAAATTGCCTTTTGAGCAGTTTGATGTCTATGGATTCCCCCTACTGTGCAGCAAACTCACACGATGGCAGCTGAAGATCCAAACAGGAAAACAGCCCGACTCCTCTCTCTTTAGAGAGAAACAGAGCCCGCGGACCCCAACGCCTCCCCCTGAAGCCCCAGAGATGACTGTCCTGTTATTTTTTTCTCCAGCACAGAGGACAAAGTGCAAACATACCTTGGTTTAAGACCCCGTCCTCAATGAGCTCATCCTCGCTGAAGTCAATGAAGGCCTCCACATGAGCCAGACACTGTGAGACATGCAAAACAGAGAGTAGAGATGAGAAGATGCTGAAATCCATGCGCACACCACTGAACAAAGTGGTGCTCAGTTTGCTTGTGTGTTGAAATGTTGCAAACAGCACAGAAAAGGTGACTGGCAGTGAACAGGAAACTAATACAGAGTATATCTCGCTAGTGCACATATCATGGATATATTATTGTGCTGCAGGTAATACTCAAATATAGGCAAACTAATTCAGTTAACATTCTTTAAAATAAACCAGTCAACATGCAATTTAAAAATCCCTATTTATACTTTTTACTGCTTTTTTTACTCATTATCCATTATTCATAAAATTTTACAAAAAAACAAACAAAAAAACTTTATAAAGGATTTCCAATAAAAGTTCTCATTGCATAAACTGCAGGAAGTTTCATTTGTGCTGTGTTGTTTTGCAGCTACTTTCTGTCAATTAATAAATGATATAAATGAGAGAAGAGCAGCAAATCACTGTATTTCAGAACCTTAAGCAAGCACATATTTGGTATTTATCCTTGATAAATGGCTGATGATTTCTCTATAATCAAAACTGTTGACTAATCAATCAATTGTTTAAGCACAATTTTGATTAAGTATCCAACATATGCTGCCTGCTCTGTTTTGGAAGTATTCTCTTAAACATGGCATGGGAGTTCCCAAATGTCATGAGGTATTTCACACACTGACTGAAGTTGATGTTTCTGTTATTCTTCTCCACCAATAGGACGACTCATTTACATTTCAGGCTTTCAGACTTCGTTTTTTTTAGTGTCCATTTATTCCCTGTATGTATTTGGTGTACATTAACACTGGATAATAAAATTCAAATGGCTTCCTCTGGTCTTTTTCCACAACTAATCTCATAACATGTAAAGTCTTGCTGCTACTTTACATCACTGCCAGATCTTAAACTAACATTCATTTAAATCTAGAATACAGAGCATCAGCGTATGAACCACAGCACCGATCAGTATCTTGATTGACATTGCAGAACATAAACACAATAGTAGTATAGCTGCACAAAAACAGGAAGCGACAGATTCCCATACTTTAATCCTTTGACAAAAGTGGGAAGCCACCGGTTAAAAAAGCGGCATTGTTTGGGTGTCGGACGAGGCTTTGACCCATAGCATCATACAGATGGTATACCTCTGATTGACTGGATTCCCCGAAATGTAAATGCAAAATAAAGGCACGTTCAAATTGCTTCTAGGAACTGCCTCAAAAAAGCTGCTGACAAGTAGCATAACAGAGCTTCTCAAGGGAGAACACCTGGACCGGTTAGTCTGAACTGCTGCCAAAGTGTTGCAAGATCCCTCCAAAACAGTTTCACAGTTTGCGGTCAGTGACCTCCTGCTATGAACTGCCTCGACAAGCCGTGAAAGGGAAACAGTCTGTGGTTCTGATGCTAAGACAGTAAAACAGTAAAAAGTCACAGTGCTGGCCAGAGGTCGCAAACCCTGATCCCTTCAGCTGCCTCAGTCATCACATAACATGAGCAACAGCCTACAAACCTTCAAAACAAATTAGGTAAAGTTTAAACAGCTTAGTTCTTCAGTAGCAACTAGTAGGGAACAAACATGATGGTTGTAGAAAAACTTTCTCTTATCTCCTTGGACAATAACTATATTTCAAAGATTCACTGGAAGGGATGTAAAAAAGGTTTACAATTATATGATCAATTACATTTTACTGTAAAAACCACTGTTCTTACTTACTACTTACTAATAGTGGTAGCAGTAGTAATAGTATCTCATTCAATAAAATATGTCAAAAATTCTGCCCAGTCTAAATTGTTCGGTTGGTTGAATAGAGTAATATACTAATGATATTTGTATAAAATAATATCCTCAATTGATAAAGTATCAGTATGTTAACTGTTTGTCCTTGTAGAGTGAAATCACATCTAATTTATTTCTTTTTTCTCTTTGACTTGATTGCAGTTTTTCCCTGTTTTTCTTGGTTTTGTTTTTTTCTTTACTTCAGTTTTTTTATCCAGTGCTGAATAGGATTTGAGATAAGTGTTTACATGTACCATTCATATTAGTACTTTGGTTCTCAGTATTGAACAGAAAACACACGCACTACACGTGCGATGGTCACATAAAAACAGGAAGCCTCAGATTCCCATAAATTAATCCACAAACAGTGTGGTTCATAAGCAGCTGCAGAGATGCAAAAAAAACAGAAAGCATTGTTTGGGTGTGAAACTACTGAGGCCTGTCCAACAGCAGAGTACAGACAGGTTCTTTCCAAACACTGTTCTCGGATAAATTCCAGACACGAACGTCTCTCCAGGGAGAGCTCCAGGATTCCAGCTTGTTTCTGCTGTCAAGCAAATGTGGAACTGGACAGAACATTGTTTTTCCAATAGGAACATCTAAATGCCCCCTGTTCACATGTCAGTTCAAAGACAAACTCTGGCTGGGTTTGAGTCACTAAAGGCGGTCGAGATCAAGTCACGTTGAAGACCGGAGCAAGTCAAATGTGATCACAGGTCGATACCAAAAAGCAAACAGAGTGTCTGAGACAGAGATGTACGATCTTCAAACATTTGAGTCTGTGTCTGAGCTGACTAATCAACGTGTAGAAATTGCAAGACCATTACACAAACAGGTTTCAAGAATGCATATGAATTACTCAATCATTTGAATGACTAATAACATGAATAATATATATTATTTGTATCAAAACAATAATCTCTTAGCATCAGACACTAAAATAAATCAAATCCAAGAAAAACATGCGTAACATGTATGAACACCTCTGTCTACACCACCAGCCTCTGTACAACCAGACAACCTACCCGTTTCAGTTTGTGGCTCCAGTCCTGGTAGAGGCGTCCCAGTTCTCCTGACATCTGCCTGAGAGCCTGTCTCCTCTGGGCTTCTGTCTCAGCGTGGATCAGATCCCCAAGTCCCTCCACCTTCAAGCGGCATTGTAATAGTTAATATTGCAGTATAACAAAAGTACCTATCATGCATTATCACACTGCAATATCTGAATTGTAAAAACACATTTGCTTATGATAAATAAAAACTCAATTTACTGTCTACTGCTAAGATTTACTGTGATATAGTGTTATATGCTGTTCATAGAATATCCACAATAGTCCCTTATTAACACGTCAGGCTGCATATTTGGCTGCTCAATGAGAGAAATGTGAAAATTTTCCACCGTTGACATTTCATGAACTTGAAATCCCTGAGCGTGTCTGACCCCATTTATTCCACATTTACCGTTTGACTTTCCTCTAGGAGCTCTTGATACACAAATCTGCACAGATTTTTCTGTGGGTTTTTACATGTACTTCTTGACCTACCTCTGTTAAACCCAGTTTCCCTGCTTGAAAGGCCCTCCGCGTGAACTCTCCGGCTTCAGCAGGCCTCATGCCAGGCACACTTCCTGAGAAACACACACACACACACCACCACAGCATACGAACATGGAAAAATGTTTGAGGCACGAGGACGTCATGCATCATGCACACCAAGAACACACACACACAAACAAAGGAGGGACAAACACAGGGTCAAAGTGTCACTCAGGGTTCAACTGAAATGAAAACAGGCACAACTGTGCAAGTTAAAGAGGTTACATTTTCACTTTAGTTTACTCAACCATTTTTCAAGTCTCATCAGGAGGAGACAATGAGCACAAAACCATTTGGCAAATGGAGGTCATGATCTGTTAACTAGAGCAAAATATTCTATTTTACACCCTGCTGGCTGGTTATCATCTCACCAACAAAACCTTCCTCTTAGTTTTAAAAAACAAGAATTACTCAAAAATGTCTTGTACATCACTGCAATGTTTTAAAACTGAATTATTCCTGATTACAGATAACCATATATTAAATAGTGACAAACTTTCATTAACATTGCTGATTTATACAACACTGCCCTCTAGAAGGTTTGCGGGAGAACTGCAATAAAAATATTACTAGTCAATCACATGAGGATTGCCACGCTTGCTTGAAATAGGAATGCATGTGTCAGTTTTCTCTTTTAAGTCCCAGTGACGGACAATTACATGACTCGGCTAGCTACTGTGCTTAGACTTTTCATGCAGGCTTAGAGCTTTAGAAGTCAAAGCTATGAAGCCATAAACACACAACCCGCAAAGTAATGATGCGTCAAATGAGACTGTAAATTTGTGTGTTATATTGCACTATATCAAGTTGTATAGCACTGACTCTGTTTGATATCTGGATGTTACCTAGAGCCTGTAGGACAGCAGTAATGACAGCAGGGCCACCATGGATGTGGAACTCCACACTGTCCTCTCCTGTGAAACTGTGAGGAGCTGATGGCACGAACACAAGAGAAACAACAACACAGTCTGAATATTGCTTAGTCATTTAAATACTTACAAGGGGCAAAATGTTAAGGTATACCTTAATTAAACTGCAAGTGGATGACACTGATCGAATTTTAGATTCACAAGACTCAGTACTGTGATACAATAAATTAGATCAGCTCTGGCTTGTATGTTAGGTTTTTGTTTTAAATGGCAGTGACAGAAAACTGTTTAACACACTGGGACTTGCATTAACATTTAGCAATCCAGCCGGTTTGGTGTATGAGAAGGTGCTCACACATGGTTTGTATTTTACTCATATCACAGTTTTTAGGTGAAGTGGTTCCCTCACCAGTGGACAGAGCTTTTGCATGTGTTACACCAACTTTCGACATCACATGCTGACACTTGGAAAGTTGCTTGAGATATTTTATGTTTAACATTCATTGTTTCCCTTAACAAATGATTATTTAATGCAAGACGAATTCTAATATGACAACACCCTATGGATTGTGCGTGTGTGTGTGTGCATGTGTGTGCGTGATCATGGTCCAAGGGAAAAGACCTGGGAACCAGAGGACAAGTCCACGATCCAACACTTCTTTGGCTTGGGCGTCTGTGATGCTGCGTAACAGGGCAGTGCGTGGAGGAGGTAGGCTGTGTGTGAGGCCGGCCATACGCCTCAGTGCTGTAGCCGATGCTGGACCACTGACTCGTACCACAGCCACCCCACACCTGCCATGGCCCGATGACAATGCAAAGATGGTGTCAGCATCAGCCAGTCCAGCTGGGACTCCATCACAGGTGGACAGTGGTTTGCACAGTGGAGTTCCTCTGCTGGAGATAAGGAAATGATAAAACACAGTGTAACCTCTGATTATATGTTTGACTAATCTTAATATATTTTATCAGCTGACTGGAGGTAGACTGGAAAAAAAATTCTCATTTTTACAAAACAATGTAAAGTTAAAGGTAAAAATATTTTATTTATTTTTATTGAAATTATGATCAGACATATTTACTTTATTTTACTTTACTGCGATTGTCGGTTGTCACTCGTGTATATATCTACTACGAGGAAAAGATGAAATAGAGGCCAGTGTACAGAAACTGCAGTTGAAATTTGGTAACAAACCTTATCCTAAGTGTGTGGACGGCCGATCTCCATATCCCACGATAGATAAATGGAAACATAATTAAAGCACGCTAATACCAAACGTTTCTCGTGTGGCTGGTTTTACAGACTGACCCTGCAAATCAAGCTCTGTCCTTGACGAAGTCATTACGTTAACCTTTTCCCCTTAGTTCCTATGTCGGGATAACCTGTGAACGTAAAGTCAGCTGGTGTATGGAGGCAATTCATTATTCGTGAATGTTTTCATTCTCTGTGAGCGCTTCCTCGTTAAACTCATGCCTCTCTCCACTACCGTTTACATTTACCACGATGGGTGTGTTGCTCCCCCTGCTGACTGTGATTGGTTAACGATTTCTACAACAGCGCCAGTTTCTGGAATCCCATTCGTTTACAACCCGTCGATCTGGACTAAGACCCGCCCACAGTGCACCGTTAAATTGAGTCCGTGTGGCTACTGTCGCTCTTACATCTGTTACCGTCTATCTATCTATCTAGCTATCTATCTATCTATCTATTTTTCTACAGGAATTTATTTTCAATAAAAGTGGCTTTTCTGTTGCATGAATCTGCATGAATCTGAAACTGACGCTAATATTAACATTTTACTGTAATTATCATACTCTTAATAGGTAAACCTGCACAGAGCAACTTTTCAATTATTTTCCTAATGTAGGCCTAAATGGCAATTTTAGCCTTTATATAGATTCATTAGGACTGCAAACATTTGCATACATTACTACCAAATTATGAAGATTTGTTTCTTTGTAGAGCTCCCTGAACAACTCTAACTTTTATTTATTTCTTTATTTGATTGTTTATTTTTTGTAATTATTGTTAAATATACGAATAGTTTTCATTATTATTATTCTTATTGTCATTTATTTATTTACTTAGTAAAATGAATTTGAATCATAATGCAGATGTATCATGAAGATGCAGATAAATCAGTTTGCAAGGGACAGGTAACTGTTTCTTCCTAATAGCAGATCTGTTCATTTTTATGATGAAATTTTAAAAAAATAGATTGGTGGGTAAAACCATATAACAGAGAATGGCAAAAAGTGTGCTTTTTTTGTCTACGTGCCAACCAGTGTAAATATGCGAAGTGATTATTTTTAGATAGAGGTGTGTCTAATGTCATCCTATTTATATCAATGAGGGTAGACTAAATATTAGAGGTATCTCTCAGGAGGCTACATGCTGTGTTAACTGATCTTTATTTTTTTTCACTGCCACAATGTTAATTTTCAGTTAAGTTAAATTACTATAATTACTATGTTGTTGTTGTTGCGGTTGTTGTTGTTGTTTTTGTTTTTTTCTTGTAGTTCTTCACAGATTATAAACACAGGTTATAGACTACATGTGCACTGCTGTGTGTGCCCCACTCCAGCTTTTTGCAGCTGTCAGCCCAGAGGGTGGTGAGTAAGCACAATTTCTGCTCGCATTTGAGGTGCTTGTGAGCTCTGAGCCACACGAAGGGGGAGGGCTGCCAGCCTGCCTGTGTGACTGCACAGTGAAACACAGCATCCAGGACGGCCGGCCGAGGAGATAGATTGTGTGCATGCCGAAGAGGCATGGCCTGAGGCCCGAGGAGCAATCTTTAACCTGGGATCTCAATAATTTATAGACTACTCAGTGTGTGCACAAAGCTTGACAGCTGCCACCTTACAGCTGTTGAGCACCATCAAAACACATTTGTCTCTTCTGACCAAAAACACGGTTAACTGGTCCATGGATCTGATTAAAGACGATGACGTTATTTTTGTTAGGAACACATTACCTCCACCCTCCTTACACACACACACACACACGCACGCACACACACACACACACACACACACACACACACACACACACACACACATAGCAAGTGTTTCAAACTCTTCCACTTGTATAACTGCATCCTGTGTTTCTTTATGACAATATTGCATATTTTACCAGTAGAAGACCATCAGGCTGAGGCTGCAGCATCAGTATTTGTTTTGAAGGATGTGAGTTTGTGTAGGGTGTAGTCTCACTTTGCAATTGGTTGACTATTGTTTGCTCATTTGAAAAGAAAAAAGACATATGACAACTGGAAGCGGACATGAGAATTTGCATTTTAAAGTAGGTCATCATGCTAATAATTTGTTGATGTGCAAAATTTATACAATAACAGCTATGCAATACAGCTGCTGCATACACAGTGTGTATTGTGTCCGGTGGGCTGTCACTTTTCCCTAGACCTGTGTCACTAAAAATTTAATCTATGATGATATTTTTTGCATCAATAAATAAGTCATAGTCTATTTAATCTTGGAGGACAGGGCACAGTACAGTCACACTCACAGGAGAGCAACAGTCTACCTGCTGGACTGCAGAAACCTGCCTGCTGCTGAAAGGATGACTGTGTTTTAAATTAAAGGTAGGTGCAAACTGAAAAAACTCTTGTGATGAAGAGAGAATTACCAGCACTTGTGTGACCACATGAATGGGCATTTTGCCAATTAAGTAATATTATCCATTTAAGCCATGCATTTGTTTGTCTGAGTTTTGCCTCAATGTTGCCAAGCAGATTCTATTTCTGGGATCAATTTGAAGCCGGTCTGATGGCAGGGGTCACTGTCGGGCGATACATACACATTTCTCTTGGAGGACTACGGGACATGCATGCATGAAAAAACTAGTATGTTTCCAAGAAACTCCTTTGGGCTTTTAAAACCTTCAATTGGACTGTGCATGACCTATAGGATTATAATAGGCTAATTGTCTGATCTGACTTATTTATTAAAAGCTATTGTATCTCTCACGAAGAAATTAAAGCCAAATAATTTTGCTGAAGCTACAGTCCTGATACAATTATCAGCCTAACACACTGGGTTGTTGTAAGGTGTGTGCGTGTATGTGTGTGTGTGTGTGTGGTGTCAACCAGCCCCCCTCCCCCGCCCTCCCTCTCTTTGTCCCTCCTCTATAGTCGTCGGAGGAGCGCTCTCCATCTAGCCGCGCATCCTACTCCAGAGTACCAACAGGATGATCCGCCGCTGCACCGTCACCGACAACCTTCACTTCACTTTCACACTCATTTAACCCTTCACTCGGACCCCCGCACTACCCCCATGCTTTGCCCTCCTCCTGCGATGCGATACCACTGCACGATTTCCCGGAGAATATCTTCATCTTCCGTCGCTCCTCGCTGATAGAGAGCATGCCCGACACGGGGACGGCAGCGGCAGGCGCTGCAGCCGCGGCGACCGCCAGTGGTGCGGCCGCGGTCGGCGACGGCCCCGAGAGCTCCCGGCACCGACACCGAGCGCAGCAGGGAGACGCGGAGAGGCCGGAGCCGGGCGCTTCCGCACCACAGACCTCCGGTGTGCTGGGTGAGTCTAGAGTGCTTCTTTCCCTCAGGACGATGCGGTTTAGGAGGAAGAGAGAGGACAGGTGAACGTGATGCTGGGAAACGAGACGTGCATCAGACACCTCGCGGCACCGTTCTTTTGTCTCCACGAGGGCGTCCCAAAATTACCAATTGATTAGACCACAGGCCTGTAAATTATGGATTTGAATGTTCGCATGGCGGCGGCTTTTCAAAATGATTGATGTTATATCCTTTCTTTATGGAAATGGCCACATTTTGGCTCAACCCGGTTATTGTATAGCCTATTAGCCTATCTCCCGTCATCACAAGCCACAGTATTTCTTTGGTCAGTTGTAGTCATTGCTGCTATAGTTTTCCACAGCATCCTTATAGGCGGCTGGTAGGATATGATTGGCTGAAGGGGTTCCGTCTAGCTCTGTGTTGTGTTTAAGATCTGCCAGCCTTTCCTCCTGGTAACCAAATCTTCAATAACTTCATGATGTCAACCCGGGATTTCTAAACTACTGAGGCCAGACCAGACTACTACAGGCTGCTGTCTACTTCCACTTTATTGCCTCAGTAGCAGTTGCCATGCTATTAGAAAACGGGGCAGGTGCATGCTTTGTCATTTTGATGAGGGTTAGGCCATAAAGGCTGCCCTTCTCATAACAATATGCCCATAATTTGTTCCAGTGTGTGAATGTGGTGTGGTTTATACCTCCTTACATTTAACTGTATGTTTCCTGAATTATTCCTTAAAATCATGGCATTATAAATCCCTTTGAAAGGGTAAACAGGACAAACATGCTTTCTGTTTACACTCCATGACACTGATATATGAATGGATGAATAGGCCGTATCATAGTTGTCCCGTTGGAAGAATTGCGTGAGTCTATTTTTGGAACAGACCACGATATTAGCCGGGGTATAGAGCCTCAGCTGCCAGGCCAGGGTTGTTTTCCTGCGCTCCCTGCGAGTACTGCTGCAGAGTGATGCAGTGGGCTGTCAGCGGTTGAGCGCTCCTTTCCACACTTGGTTGAGGTAACCTGAGCAGGCTGCTGCTGACTGGCAGAGCAGCCTGATGTCATCCTGTTGAGAGGCTGGCACCCAGTCTGGGTCCTTGAACGGGTTACAGGGTTGGTGGGTCAGCAAACTGAAGATGAGTTTAATTTTTACTGTTACTTCATTAGCTAGGAGCCGCACTGGGGCAAAGAGATGGACTGGGAGTCTAAACCTGCAACAAACAGTCCACTGGTGCCAGACTCCTAATAAATGGGGGTTAGTCGTCTAAGATGTGTAGAGCTAAGTATTGAACCTCAATACTTTTCTTTTTGCTGACCGAAACGTATTGGTATCATCAAGCTTTCAAAACTGTCAAGTACTGAAAGATGACGTTATAAGCCTGGTCAGATTCATGATCTTCTTCTTCAGATTTGACGTCAGGCATTTGCGAATTTAATTTAGGCAAAGATCTTGTATGGCTGCATGTGTTGTAGACATGTAACATCAGTGAACATTGATGTCTTGTTGAAGGAAGTAAAGGGTTTATAGAAAAACGTGTTTATAGTTCTGAAAGTAGGGTATTGATTAAGTATAATAATTCACCCTGCTCTGTTAAAGTACAAGAGTTAAAAAGCCTTTATTAGGTTATGTAGCTACACTATGTTTTTAGAGGGAATCCATTCCTTTTCTGTGGCCAGTATTTGCCCACCCATGTGTCCGGACCTCCTACTTTGTGTTAAATTGGCGTCAGATCCAAGTAGCGCCTCCTCCCTTGCTTTTTGTGTTGTTTTGTTTTTTGAATAATGTAATGTCAAAAAATCACCATCACAGTTGAATCATTTGCTGTTAAAAAGCATTAAAGGTGGGTGGTGTATCAGAACTGTTAAGAGCAGTGACTGTCTTGTCCTCTTGAAACCTCTTGCTCCCTACTTGTCGGTGTATTTCCTTGCATGGGTCATGGCAGAGAAGAATTGGGTTTGTGGACGTCAGTGGGATTACCATGATATCACATAACCGCCCTCACACGTGTCAGTGTCAGTCAGCAAGCACAGCAGCAGCACGCCAGGGTGATTTCTCCAAGTGGCTGAGATTTTGGTTGCAGCCCATGAGGATTTTCCTCACTGGAGGCTTGGATGCTCGATTGTCTCCGTGCCTCCACCATATTTTCCTAATCCCTCCACAGTAGACTGGAATGACTTTGATCCTCTCAGCCATCTTCTTTTATAGCTCCAACACTCACAAGCCAGTGTTTCAAAGATTAATTAAGCACCCATCATTAGAGAAAGCAATGTAAAACTCTCACCAATTAGTTGGCGTTCCCTCTGAGGCCAGTGTTGATAAGATTCTGTGTTACAGAAATCAGGTCATGTAATTTGTGGTTGCCCAATCAGCCAGCACAGAGGTTTAGGATTTAGGACATTTGTGGGGATATATGGCAAGATTCATTCTTACTTTGAAAAAGATACAATGATAATGGGCTGCAGCCTGAAATTTTGTGCCTCTGTACACCTTCCTGTAAATCCGATCTGATTTGAACTTGCCCTATTATACTTCAAATGGCATTTTTACATTTTATTCTGTATTTTCTGAGCAGGTTTAATTAGCAGTAAGTTTGTCATTGTGCAGTTGCAACTTGGGGCTTAATGACAACTGTGTAATTTCTGGCACCGGGACCTTCTCCAGAATACTTCAGTAGTTAGTGCAATGTAGCTTCATGCTTCACAACAGCTATAACACTAGCCCTTGATTGCCTTTTGCAAAACATTTCATGTCATTGACTAATTGTACCTTTTTAGCTCAGTATCTGCTACAGAATACCAATTAGGTTTCACTGCATGAAACATAAAAGAGTCAGCAGGCTTTGCATCTAAAGTCAGTCTAAAACTGTAGTTTCAAACCCTTTTGACACCCCTGTTCTGATCTGAAAGTGCGAGTCTGTTCTGAGACAGTGGTGAGATCTGAAGGGTCCATTTTTATCTATGTAAACTTATTTAAGTCCATCCTTGATGCTTGGCATTAATAAATGCACTCTACAGTCTGCAAAATGCATGAGAAAAATGTATTAAGCAGGGATCCGCACTCATCCATAGACTCTTGGCCAGGACTCTGCTCTCTCGCTCGCACTGCCTCTTAAGCAAGTAGAATACCTCAGCTTTGGTTCAGACAGATTTAGTCAGGTTCAGTGTCACACAGGTTGCTTTAAATACAGCAGTGTAAGGACAGTGATGAGAGGAAAGAGCATAACACTGAACTTTGTAAAAGAAGAGATCATTTTTTTTGCAGCACCAGACAGATTGAGCCATTGGTTTTCTGCCCTCCCACAGCTTCATAAATGAAGGGGCTGATGAATGTAATGCAGTATGATATAATGACAGCAGTGTGTTGTGCCTAATGACTCCGAACTTAATGTCTCTCTCTCTCTTGCTCGCTCTCTCTCTTGCTCGCTCTCTCTCTCTCTCTTGCTCGCTCTCTCTCTCTCTCTCTCTCTCTCTCTCTCTCTCTCTCTCTCTCTGGATCTCTTTGGATCTCACTCTTATTCATTGCATGCTCCACAGAGATATATTTCCTTCTCTCCTTCTCGTCCTCCGTCTAGAGAGTGCTGAGCTTCACACTAGCTGCATTACTGATTGAGGAAAAACGCCTCACTGTGGTGTGACCTTGCTGTCAGTAATATCAGGGTTTTATGAACCTCACCTGATCGGTCAAACGCACAACTGACAGATTACTTTGGTAACCTGCCTTTGATGGGGGATGACATTTCATGCTAGAATTAAGGAGACCATCAGGTTATAAAATTAAGTGGCCGACTCTTTACTGTCATAACACTTAATATTTATTATGAGCTACTTGGTCTGAAATTGAGAACATTACAGTGAAGTAGGTGCTGTTCAGATGGAGGTAAACACTGCAGTTATTGCTGCAATCATTTTCATTGATTTGCTGGTGGTGATATTTGTGCGGTTGGTGCTCGTTTCATAATCTATTTGTGGGCATAGTGGCATTGTTTTGCTCATGCTAACCACCCAACCTGATGTTTTTGCTGCAAGAAACATAAGGGTTATCATCTTATGTTGCTGCGGTGATTAAGGATGCACTGATCCAGTACGCCAGAGCAGAATTAACGCCAATTCGATCTTATAAAACGGATTGAGTAGCAACCATAAACGATCAATCACGATCAACAATCATTCAGTTATGGTGGGGGGTTGACTCAGTTATTAGCGCCACAGTGGTCTCTGACCAAAAGGTTGGAGCACAGAGTTGCCGTCGTGTGTTTAGTCAGTAGATTAGTAGATTAGAAGTATGTCTTGTATAAAATAAATTCTAAAACAAACTGAGAGCAACCCAATTTATATCCGTTTAGTGACGGCTCTGTGTGGCTGCACAGCTGTGCCTTTTTTTTGTCACCTGATTTCTTGTTGGCTTGGTTTTCCACATGCAGTGCTGTCAGACACATTCAGGGGATTGCACCGCTGCTGTAACTATGCAACTGTGTTTGCCTATGTCCACAACCATTGGATGAGGGATGTTTTAGGAAGTTCCAAACACTCCCTGAGTTGTGATAAACCATCTGTCTTGCAAGTGGTGATTCACTTGTCCTAGATTCTCAAGTTTTTAATGGCTTAATCATATCACCCATAATGCCTCTTTGCCTCTAGCCAACCATCTTCTAAATCCCCATTCAAGCCCTCTGGAAGTTTACACTTTTCCATTTATAGCCATGAAGATTATCAGACTGTAAGCAAAAAATGATAATGCACACTCCAGAGCTTAATGCATTCCAAGCACACACAGAGCGAGAGAGAGAGAGAGAGAGAGAGAGAGAGAGAGAGAGAGAGAGAGAGAGAGCGCTCCTGGTGTTGCCTGTCTCCAGCCTTGTGTGGAAGCAGTGACATGTCGCAGAGACCTTATCGCTGAGTTAAGGCTCCTTTCTCTGTGATCAAAGCGGAGTCAATAACCAGCCTCCTCCAGTGTGCAACTGATATTGCATTCCTGAGGGGGAAAAAGTAGGATTGAAGT